GGCTACTTTGAAGAATCTAAAATCTATTTTGATTTGTTTAACACTTTTTGGGTTACTAGATGATTCCATATGTGTTATTTCATAGTTTTGATGTCTTCACTATTATTCTACAATGTAGAAAATAGTCAAAATAAAGAAAAACCCTTGAATGAGTAGGCGTGTCCAAACTTTTGACTGGTACTGTATGCATTGTCATAAAGAGTTTCATTTTACACTGGGAAATACGCAAATAAGGTCGAATAAATTCTCAAGTTGAATTGTATGTTCACTCAACCTAAAATTCAAAGTGGAGTGAACATACAATTCAACTTGAGAATGTATGTTGGTTCAGCTATATGCCCAAATGTTCAGCACAATCCTCACAATCCTATTGCAGTTGGTTGCCTTACAATTATAAATTGAATAGAAATAATTACAGTGTACTTAATGGTCTAATTATTTTCTCCATCCCTCATTTATCTCTCTTTCCTTTCTTTCCCCCTCTGCATTCCTCTCACTTTCCCCCTGCCTCTCCAACTTCTGAAGTCCAGCCTTCCTCTCCTATTTATTTACCCTCCCACCATCCCTCCTCTTCCCCTTTACGCTTCATCCTCTCTCACTCTTTTTCCTGTTGCCGTCTACGTTTCTGTGCGTCTTTAGAGCCTATTCCCTTTTCTCTCTCCAGTCTATCGCCCCATTCCTTGCTCCTCCCCTGGCTTTTATACTATTTCGCGGGAATCTTTTTAAATTCCGTATCCCACCTCTAAAAAAAATATTTGGCTTATCGGAAATGATGATGTCAAGGCAATATCCCATCTGAAATGCCATCCAGTGTGTCTCCGGACGCCTGAAACCGCACATAGATTTGGTAAAAGCAATTTTCTGTATATTTCCTCTAGTATTGGTCAAGTTAGTGGGTGTGTATTCTTGCACAGGGGGTGTGTGTCTGAGAGAGAGAGAGGGAGAGGTGAGGGAGGGTGTGTAGCCCACGGTGATATATACGCGGACACAGTCCTGTGGTCACTGGTCTTAACCAATGATTGATTGGTCTTAACCTGAGAATCAATAGTTGATCAACAGTCTGCTTTCAACGTGCAGCTCCACGGGGAACTGTCACAGGTGAGTTACGACATTTATTATAGCCTGTATTCAGAAGTTAGGAGAGATATTCGAAGTGCTGTGAGTTGTGGTCCGTGTAAATTGAACCGTTGTAGGTCTATTGCCTATTTGATGTGTTTTTCTTTTAGTTCTAGCCGCAGTGAATTGTGACTGGGCTAATGCATTTCTTCTTCAAGTGAAGTTCTAAATATTTGTCATGAATTAGCCCAGGGATTCAGCAACATGAGACAAATAATATAAAAACTGTTTTAAATTACACTTTTAGAGAAAACAATTACGTGTATACCTTTGCATACTCATAGGCCAATCAATTTTTAAATTTTGGTTTCTGGCCCCAGTGGCAGTTGTTTTGCAGTTCGTGGTGTTCTTTCCTGGCAAGTTTGAATAGAATTGATTAGTGTTTTGCCCGCCAGTTAATGACTTGTCATTATCTCAATGAGTCGGTGTGTGTTGTCTGGACCGTCCTCTGATCCTTATTCGCCACCAAAGGACAATAAACTGGTCAACCGGTGCCGAACAACGACTTCCAATTCTGTCTCACAGCATTATATGATGTGTGTAGGCTATCAGACACAGAAAAAAGATAGACACATGATAATTATGAGATAAGTGGGTATAGGTCTTTGACTTTGATCATATTGCATTGTGTAAGCAACAAGGCTAAGGTCAGATGTACATACCTATTTGTAGTCTATGTAAACAAACAATGAATGGAGTCAAAATATGTTTAATACTATCATATCGATCTAATTGAATATCAGACCTGATTGCATGGTATGAAAAAATAAATAAATATGTATGCACTCACTAACTGTAAGTCGCTCTGGATAAGAGCGTCTGCTAAATGTAAATGTATCTGAAGCTTCTACCAATTTGAGAGTGGTTACATTTCTGGAGCCCAATCCCTAATTTTATCTGTCAGGTGTTTCGAAATCACAGATTTAGCCTTTAAAGCATGTTATTGACAAATGTTTGACAGTTGCAATTGGCAGAACATAGAGAAGAAACATTTCACCAAGAGTGTGATACTGTCCAGAATGGGAGAATAATGTGAGGAGGTTCTGATAATGCAGTGATAATGAGAATCCAGTGGGAGAGATTACTTTGTAATGTTGTTTGTTCCCTGGGTATAAACTATGTCCTTGCTCTAGTGTGTGTTCCTCCTCTATTTGGATACATATTATCCTTCTCTCAGCCTGTCCAATATAATATTATGTACATGGAGAACTTGGTCTCTTGTTAAAGATTCCGTCTAGACCACTGTATTAATCACTCTCTTTTCCCCCTCAGGATGTTGCAAGAGGGACTCTCCCATTGAATTCACTGCTGGAGAACAGTCATGATGATGGTGTCAGGGGCAGGGTGGATTCTCTTCTGCCTCTTTCTAATGGGGGAGAGAACAGCAAGTAAGTGAAACAAGACATTTACATTTTAGTCATTTAGCAGACGCTCTTATCCAGATCGACTTACAGTTAGTGCATTCATCTTAATATAGCTAGGTTGGATAACCACATACAGTGGGGAAAAAAGTATTTAGTCAGCCACCAATTGTGCAAGTTCTCCCACTTAAAAAGATGAGAGAGGCCTGTAATTTTCATCATAGGTACACGTCAACTATGACAGACAAAATGAGAAAAGAAAATCCAGAAAATCACATTGTAGGATTTTTAATGAATTTATTTGCAAATTATGGTGGAAAATAAGTATTTGGTGAATAACAAAAGTTTCTCAATACTTTGTTATATACCCTTTGTTGGCAATGACACAGGTCAAACGTTTTCTGTAAGTCTTCACAAGGTTTTCACACACTGTTGCTGGTATTTTGGCCCATTCCTCCATGCAGATCTCCTCTAGAGCAGTGATGTTTTGGGGCTGTCGCTGGGCAACACAGACTTTCAACTCCCTCCAAAGATTTTCAATGGGGTTGAGATCTGGAGACTGGCTAGGCCACTCCAGGACCTTGAAATGCTTCTTACGAAGCCACTCCTTTGTTGCCCGGGCGGTGTGTTTGGGATCATTGTCATGCTGAAAGACCCAGCCACGTTTCATCTTCAATGCCCTTGCTGATGGAAGGTTTTCACTCAAAATCTCACGATACATGGCCCCATTCATTCTTTCCTTTACACGGATCAGTCGTCCTGGTCCCTTTGCAGAAAAACAGCCCCAAAGCATGATGTTTCCACCCCCATGCTTCACAGTAGGTATGGTGTTCTTTGGATGCAACTCAGCATTCTTTGTCCTCCAAACACGACGAGTTGAGTTTTTACCAAAAAGTTCTATTTTGGTTTCATCTGACCATATGACATTCTCCCAATCCTCTTCTGGATCATCCAAATGCACTCTAGCAAATTTCAGACGGGCCTGGACATGTACTTGCTTAAGCAGGGAGACATGTCTCGCACTGCAGGATTTGAGTCCCTGGCGGCGTAGTGTGTTACTGATGGTAGGCTTTGTTACTTTGGTCCCAGCTCTCTGCAGGTCATTCACTAGGTCCCCCCGTGTGGTTCTGGGATTTTTGCTCATTGTTCTTGTGATCATTTTGACCCCACGGGGTGAGATCTTGCGTGGAGCCCCAGATCGAGGGAGATTATCAGTGGTCTTGTATGTCTTCCATTTCCTAATAATTGCTCCCACAGTTGATTTCTTCAAACCAAGCTGCTTACCTATTGCAGATTCAGTCTTCCCAGCCTGGTGCAGGTCTACAATTTTTTTTCTGGTGTCCTTTGCCAGCTCTTTGGTCTTGGCCATAGTGGAGTTTGGAGTGTGACTGTTTGAGGTTGTGGACAGGTGTCTTTTATACTGATAACAAGTTCAAACAGGTGCCATTAATACAGGTAACGAGTGGAGGACAGAGGAGCCTCTTAAAGAAGAAGTTACAGGTCTGTGAGAGCCAGAAATCTTGCTTGTTTGTAGGTGACCAAATACTTATTTTCCACCATAATTTGCAAATAAATTCATAAAAAATCCTACAATGTGATTTTCTGGATTTTCTTTTTAAATTTGTCTGTCATAGTTAACGTGTACCTATGATGAAAATTACAGGCCTCTCTCATCTTTTTAAGTGGGAGAACTTGCACAATTGGTGGCTGACTAAATACTTTTTTTCCCCACTGTATCGCAGTCATAGTAAGTACATTTTTCCTCAATAAAGTAGCTGTCAGCAAAGTCAGTGCTAGTGGGGGGGGGGGGGGGGGGTGCTATGGGGGTGTGCTAAGGGATTCTTTAAGATATTATCTGAAGAGGTAGGAGACAGTTATAGAGGTACTATTAATTATACGGGATGTTTCCATACTGAATAGGTCAACTTTACTACTTTGTCTCAAAAGTACCTCCCAGAGTGACTCTGCTTTCAAGAGCTATGTGTCAAAGGTCAGACTTTGGTTTAGCAAAGTGAAAGTGGAATATTCAGAGACTAAAGAAAACTGTTGAAAGTTCAGTCAGGGGGCACTCCCGAGTTAGCTCTGTTCAGTCCGAGAACATCAAGCTGTCTTTTAGTAATAGTGGGTCAACATCCACTTCAGGGAATAAGAGAGCAAGAACCAGAGACATACTGAGACGTAGACAGAGAGGCTGAGTGAGAGGGCTTGTCTGAGAGCAGAGCAGTCGAGTGGAGCAGTAGAGTATTTATGTGGGGGATTGACAGAGAATTGTTGCTCCTGTTTGTCAGTGAGATCAGAGAGTCTGCTGATGCTGCTGACCCCATCCATCCTGCCTATTACTAAACCTCATACCTAGTTCAGATGGTCTCTCTGAACTATTGTCTTTTTTAGGGACATCAAGTGTTTTGTTTCTCCCTTCAGGGACCCAATCTATATTAGTTTGTCCTCATTGTTCCCTGTAAACAGAGTATACAGCCGTAGCTTCATATTGAGTGACCTCTGGTTGTCTGCAACTGTGTAGTTGACGGTGGGGAGGTGCAGTGCTCTCTGTCTCCAGCGGGGGCGCTCCACCCTGTGTGGGGGCTGTTGGAGCGCTTTGAGGCCGGCCCGGGCTGTGCAGCCAGAGAGAGCGGGGAGAAAGAGACCCATGTGATCGCTGTGGGGAGAGCGACACGTAGCCCTGACAAACAGGTGCCCCTTCTCTGTTCCTCACAATAGGACACACCCACAATCACACACCCAATACGTTGCGTCTGCCTTCCCTGACCCCATCTCTTCCCTTCTAGGTGACTGTGCTCCTGAGGCCCCTGTCTCTGTCTCGTCCCCCCCATCAAACTCTCATCCTGGTACTGAGCTCCAAGCAGCCAGTGAGCTGGTGGTTGGAAGCCGAGAGACTACCCCCGGATCTGCCTGTGCTGGTGCAGGTCAGTCTGTGCGTGCGTGTTCGTGTGGTGTGTGTACCTCTTTTAGTAATTAATCTGTCATTCACCCCCTTCCTCCTGTGAGGAACTGATAAAAGTACTAACCCCTACAGTGTGTTTGTGTGTATGTCTGTGCAAGTGTGTTGTTTTAGAAACATAGTAATAGAAACATCCATTTGTGGGGGCCTATGTGTTATCATGTCTCTCTCTGTAACCACAGTGCCCCCCTATGCCCCAGGTCTCTCCTAACTCTACAGTGCAGCCCTACAGTCTGGCAGTGCGGGTGCAGCCAGTGCCCTCTCTGCCTTTCCGCCCGCGGGCTCTGCTGCGCTGGGCACTGCATCGCCATGGCTCCCTGTCCTCCCTCACACACACAGCCAGTGCCAACCGTGTCTACGTCCGCGTGGGAGAGGGTGAGCCAGCCCCACACACACGCATACAACTAATACACAACCCTGGTTTTTGTGTCCTTTCTCTCTCCCTCTCCAACCAAGTCTCCCCTCTGCCCTCCAGATACCACCATGCCCAACGTGTGCCAACTGCAGTCTCTGTTCCTGTCACACAACTACCTGACCTCTGACCTGCAGCCACAGGAAGTGCAGGGCTGTGCTCCAGTTGGCGGAGGCGACCCAGAAGTACATGTCATCAAGCTCCATTCAGCAGGGTCAGGGCTTTGTGGGTAAGTTTAGGACGTCTCCAGCATGTGAAGAAAATCATGCGAAGAATATCAATCTCTGAAGCTGTTATAGTAATACAATTTTCAGTTATTGGGTTATCCCTTAATCAGTTTCAAAGCATTTTCTCCCACTCCATGCCTTTCAGTGACCTGTCTCTCCCTCTATCCCAGCTCTCTGCAGGTGGAGGTGACTGTCGCTCTGGTGCCCCCGGTGGCCAATGCTGGGTGGCACAAGCTGGTGCTGATCCTCAGTAGTGCCGTTCCAGTCAACTGGGCTCTCACAGTCCCAGGGCTCCGGGGACACATCTCTGTCTATGTGAGGACCCTATCCAGTAAAACTTGACACATTATGGTATTTCACCTATCATGTGGGCTAGAATGGGTCCTTCACCTATTCTGGAGTTTGGTATAAAAGTCATTATGATGGACAAAATAACTAAATACATTAAAGGAGCAATACAATCATTGAGTGAAGGGCAAGGTAAACGTCAGTTCAAAATATCAATGGACATATCTCTCAGGTTATCTTGTTGTTAAATAAACACATTAAACTTGGCTTTGACAGGGCTTGTCAGGTTATCTTGTACCGTGTAGCTCAGTTGGTAGAGCATGGCGCTTGCAACGCCAGGGTTGTGGGTTCGATTCCCACGGGGTGCCAGTATGGGGGAAAAAAATTATGCACTCACTAACTGTAAGTCGCTCTGGATAAGAGCGTCTGCTAAATGACTAAAAATGTAATCTTGTAACAGAAACATCCCTTTTTTTTGGACCATTTCTCTCTTGTTCTTTCCTCTCAGTCCTCCAACAGTGTGTCCCCACTCTACCCTCCGGAGCCTGACCTGACACTGACTAGCATGCTCACCTCTGACCTCTCTACCACCCATGACCTTTTGAGCTGGGCCAATCAGAGTGGCTTCCCCAAAGTGGCCTCATACACAGAGGCTGACCTAGCCAATCGCTTTGTGATCAGACTGGCTGGGGGTGGGACAGGTCAGGACCTGTGTGTGTCTCTCATTGTGTGAGTGCACTGGATGGTTTATTTTGTGTTTCCTAACAGTGTGTTTGTGTTGGTGTTTCTCGTAATTCATTATGTTGTCTCCCTAAATTGAAGGTCATGTTATCTCTAAAAGGTGCTATTCTATGTGTAAGCACACCTCCCTCTCTCTTTCTCTCCCTCTCGTCCTCCCCACAGAAGGTGGCCCCCCTGTGCGTATGCTGGGCGGCAGGCCCCCGTGGGTCCAGGAGCGCAGGCTGAGACAGTGGCTGAGTGGGGGAGGAGGAATGGCCAGTGGGGGCTGGGACGCCGTCAGTGTGCAGTGTCATGACGGACGACTCAATGTGGCCGTGGACAGACACATTCTGCAGGTCACTTTCACTATGTGGTTGTACTGGTAGTTTAGCGTGTTAGCCTGCTAGCGAGGTTATGGCATACAAATACCAATATACTGTATGTAAACCTACAGTGTATTGTAGGTTCTTATGATGGTACTTAGTGTCGTTTTTGTGATGCTCTCTTTCACACAGACCCTGTCTCTCCCGGTGTCGGAGGTGACGCTGCGGGATCCTCAGTGCCTGGCCCAGTCCAACAGCAGCCATTTCCTGTTGGCATTCCCGGTCATTTCCTGTGGGACTGAGGGGCTGCTGCAGGGAGAGCCCAGAGGGGTGCAGTACAAAAATGCGGTACGACAGAGAGGTGGTTTAAAGGGGTAAAATATCTGCAGAGAACATTTAACATGTTCTGTGAAATGTTTCTGCAATGTTTGTGTCTCACCATGTTTTTGGGATGTTCAACATTGAGTTGAAAATGGTCATGGAACCATGCATCTGTGTGCGGACGTTTACCAGTGATTCTGTGCTAAACACAGTCAGCTGAAAATAGAGCAGAGCTGTGTAATAGGGACGTCCGGCAGCCTCATCACAGAGGCAGATCTGATGGGGAGATAGAGCAGGGATGGGCTTCCCTTAGCTGGGGAGGGGGAGAGGGACATGGAGGTCACTATGGAGCCCCTCACTCTGTGTCTCTGTGTCTCTGTGCCTCTGTGTCTCCGTGCCTCTGTGTCTCTGTGCCTCTGTGCCTCTGTGTCTGTGTCTGTGTGTGAGTTTGAGAGAGATACAGTAGAAAGGCAGAGGAAGAGAGTAGAAGAGCAGTGCTGCAATTGTGGTGTTGTTGGTTAGTGTGATCTGAAGTGCCCCTGAGGTTGTGTAAGTAGTCTGTCTTATCTCCCCCAGACGCCACATGGGTGACCTAGGTCAGAGTGTCCGGAACACTGCTGATCAGCCTGACTGTAGCTAGGCCTGGGGACGGGAGTGTGGGAGCTGGGGGCTGGAGGGAGGGAGGGTAGTGGGAGTGGTGGAGGTCTGGGAGGAAAGGGAGCAGGAGAGGAGGGAGGGAGGCAGTGAGACAGACATGTAGCATGTGAATGAGTGAGGAAAAGAAGGGTTCAATTCTGGCTTTACTGGCAGAGGGATACAGTGAGCGTCAGGTTGCTTCCATCATTAAAATTTCAAAGACGGCGGTTCATAAGAACAAGGTTAAGCAGCAGCCCTTCGTCAATGAGAAGTAAAGAAGAGCCAGGCTGAGGTTTGCAAAAGACAATAAGGATTGGGCCGTAGAGGACTGGAGTAAGGTCATCTTCTCTGATGAGTCCAATTTTCAGCTTTGCACAACACCTTGTTGTCTAGTGGTTAGACGGAGACCTGGAGAGGCCTACAAGCCACAGTGTCTCGCACCCACTGTGAAATTTGGTGGAGGATCGGTGATGATCTGGGGGTGCTTCAGCAAGGCTGGAATCGGGCAGATATGTCTTTGTGAAGGACGCATGAATCAAGCCACGTACAAGGTTGTCCTGGAATAAAACTTGCTTCCTTTTGCTCTGACATTGTTCCCCAACTCTGAGGATTGGTTTTTCCAGCCGCCATGCCACACAGCCAGGTCAATCAAGGTGTGGATGGAGGACCGCCAGATCAAGACCCTGTCATGGCCAGCCCAATCTCCAGACCTGAACCCCATTGAAAACTTCTGGAATGTGGTCAAGAGGAAGATGGATGGTCACAAGCCATCAAACAAAGCTGAGCTGCTTGAATTTTTGCGCCAGGAGTGGCATAAAGTCACCCAACATCAATGTGAAAGACTGGTGGAGAGCATGCCAAGACGCATGAAAGCTGTTATTGAAAATCAGGGTTATTCCACCAAATATTGATTTCTGAACTCTTCCTAAGTTAAAACATTACTATTATGTTGTTTAAAAATGAACATGAACTTATTTTCTTTGCATTATTCGAGGTCTGACAACACTGCATCTTTTTTGTTATTTTGACCAGTTGTCATTTTCTGCAAATAAATGCTCTAAATGACAATATTTTCATTTGGAATTTGGGAGAAATGTTGTCAGTAGTTTATAGAATAAAACTAAAATGTTATTTTTACCCAAACACATACCTATAAATAGTTAAACCAGAGAAACTGATAATTATGCAGTGGTCTCTTAATTTTTTCCGCTGCTGTGTATCTACTGACGTCTCTCACTGACCTATCTGCTCTAGTGTATCAACTCATACTTACAGTATATGACTTGCCATGTTTTGTGTCTATCTATCCTCTCAGGTGTTGCTATGGAGAAACAAGCCTCTGGTTGCCGTGGGCAATGAGACAGACAAGGATCCCACAGAGTGGACTCCACTGGTCATACATGTGAGATGATATAGCATGTGTGTTTGTTTGTGTGTGTCGTCCAATTTCACTCCATATTAGTGAGAGAGACATGTATATCTATGCTTGTCCTTATCATTCCATACATCTCCCTCTCTTTTCCATTGTCCTCTTAGTTCAGCTGTTTGGCTGCAGTCCCCAGCGCCCCGAGCCTTCCTGTGGAGCAGCCCACTCCACAGGGGCCGGGGCCTCTCCCCAGGGCCAGGGCCGGCCCACTGGTCTCACTGCAGCTGTTTGTTACAGAGGGCTATGAGCAGAGGCAGACCGGTCCTTGTGCCATCACTGCGTACAACCATGTCTATGTGGAGGTCAGTTTGCCTGGCTGTGTGTGTGTGTTTAATTGTGTATATGCCCGCCTGCCCGCCTGCCTGTCTGCCCGCCTGCCCGCCTGCCTGTCTGCCTGTCTGCCTGTCTGCCCGCCTGCCTGTCTGCTGATGTAGCTCCTGCTGCAAGTGCTACTTGTGTTTCTCCCTCTGCTAGTCTTCTACAGTATCAGCTGCCTCAAGGCCAGAACAGACTTCCTCCAGAAGGCTATTATAATCACATCTAGATATGTCACAATAAGGCCCTTCTGTAAGAGCTCTGTAGCCCTGCTATTACAGCAGTAGAGCACAGCAGGTCGTAGTTGGTAGCTAACACTTTACTTAACAGAGTACTACAAATTACAGTATTAGTGTAATTATAATACTTATTACCCTCTACTTACAAAATATCAGCACAGTAATAAGACCATGGTAAAGAAATGTGTTACCCATTTTTTCTCGGACTGTTTTTGCCAAGCTTTCAGCCAAGGGGGCCATCGGTGGGGGTGTGGATGTGCGGTCCTGTGTAGTGTCTCCTCTATCAGACCCCCGCGTGTCCCCTGGCTGGTCAGTCATTAGAGACGGCTGCTCCACTGACACCTCACTGACACTCAGCAAAATGACACATGACCAAGAGGAGGATGCTGAGGAATATTATGAAGAGGAAGAGGAGGTACCTAGAGGCCTGAGACAAAGAGAACACGGTGGGAAGAGGGGAAGAGGAGGACGAGCCAAAAGGAAGGAGAGCGATGGAGGAATGGGAGGAGAGGAGGACCAGATAAACAGACTGAGGTTCAGTTTTGTCCTTCGGCCCATCTACAACAACTCTGTCCAGTTCCTGCACTGTAGCATCCGTCTGTGTGGCCCTGAGTCAGTGACCCAAGGGCCTCCAACGGCCATGACACAGAGTGGCTGTCCGAATCCCTGGGGCCTCCGTATCCCTGCCCTCGTATCTAAACTACCCAGCCAACAGGTACAGTACATGTTCTATATTCATAATGGCTAGTAGTATTAATGACTAATAGTAATGACTTACCCTCATCTCTCTTCTCTCCTCTGTCAGTGTGAGTACAGAAACCTCTCCAGACCCATGCTGGTCAATCAGCCCGTTGGTGTGGCCAGACAGCTGGCGCCACCTGCTGGTGAGTAGTAGATGGTCAATGGTGGTGTGGTCCACCTCCTGTGGGCCTGAAGTAGTTCACTTTCACTCTGTGTAATGGGGTGTTTCTCTCTTTTTATCCAACTCTCTCTCTTTCTCTCTCTAGGTCAGAGAGGTCAAATGCCCAGTGTGGCTCAACTGCCCAAGCCTATCCCAGCCCACAGCAGTAAGTAACTGTAACCTTAACACTAGCCTCAACAATAACCCTAGCTTCATGTCCACACCTCGGTTCAACCCTAACCCTCAACCCTAACCCTAGCTTCATGGGTGGTCCTCTGTAGCTCAGCTGGTAGAGCACGGCGCTTGTAACGCCAAGGTAGTGGGTTCGATCCCCGGGACCACCCATACACAAAAATGTATGCACGCATGACTGTAAGTCGCTTTGGATAAAAGCGTCTGCTAAATGGCATATTATTATTATTTATTATTATTCATGTCCACACCCTGGCTCAACCCTAACCCTAACCATAATATCAACTCCTGGATGTTCCTATATGTGTGTATTATCACAACAGTGATATTAACTGTGATTTGGCATAACTACTACTTTTCCCTCCCATGTTTTTCCCTCCCAGGCTCTGGGGTAGAGACAGGCTCAGTGTTGGGGATTGTGTTTGTTGCGTTCCTTATGGGCATCAGCCTGATGGGGGCGCTGTGGTGCATCTACTCTCACACAGGTAAACACACAGGCCAGGTCCTAAGGTCTATCTCCTGGACCAAAGGCCAAAATACTGAGCTATGCCACCATATTCACAAATAAACAGAGAACATTCTATACCTGCTGCTACTGTTTATCTGTCACTTTATTTCTAGTTATATGTACAGTACCAGTCAAAAGTTTGGACACACCTATTCATTCAAGGGTTTTTCTTTATTTTTACTATTTTCTACATTGTAAGGTAATAGTGAAGACATCAAAACTATGAAATAACACATATGGAATCATATAGTAAACAAAAAAGTGTTAAACAAAACAACATATATTTTAGATTCTTCAAAGTAGCCACCCTTTGCTTTGATGACAGCTTTGCACACTCTTGGCATTCTCTCAACCAGCTTCATGAGGTAGTCACCTGGAATGTATTTCAATTAACAGGTGTGCCTTGTTAAAAGTTAATTTGTGGCATTTATTTCCATCTTAATGCTTTTGAGCCAATCAGTTGACAAGGTAGGGGTGGGAAACAGAAGATAGCCCTATTTGGTAAAAGACCGATACCATATTATGGCAATCATTATGTCCATCATTACTTTAAGACATGAAGGTCAGTCAATCCAGAAAATTTCAAGAACATTGAAAGTTTCTTCAAGTGCAGTCATAAAAACCATCAAGCACTATGATGAAACTGGCTCTCATAAGGAACGCCACAGGAAAGGAAGACCCAGAGTTACCTCTGCTGCAGAGGGTAAGTTCATTAGAGTTAACTGCACCTCAGATTGCAGCCCAAATAAATGCTTCACAGAGTTCAAGTAACAGACACATCTCAACATCAACTGTTCAGAGGAGACTGCGTGAATCAGGCCTTCATGGTCGAATTGCTGCAAAGAAACCACTACTAAAGGACACCAATAAAAAGAGACTTGCTTGGGCCAAGAAACACGAGCAATGGACATTAGACCGGTGGAAATCTGTCCTTTGGTCTGATGAGTCCAAATTTGAGGTTTTGGTTCCAACCGCCGTGTCTTTGTGAGACGCAGAGTAGGTGAACAGATGATCTCTGCATGTGTGGTTCCCACCGTGAAGCATGGAGGTGATGGTGTGGGGGTGCTTTGCTGGTGACACTGTCAGTGTCATTTATTTAGAATTCAAGGAACACTTAACCAGCATGGCTACCACAGCATTCTGCAGCGATATGCCATCCCATCTGGTTTGCGCTTAGTGGGACTATCATTTGTTTTTCAACAGGACAATGACCCAACACACCTCCAGGCTGTGTAAGGGCTATTTGACTAAGAAGGAGTGTGATGGAGTGCTGCATCAGATGACCTGGCCTCCACAATCACCCGACCTCAACCCAATTGAGATGGTTTGGGATGAGTTGGACCGCAGAGTGAAGGAAAAGCAGCCAACAAGTGCTCAGCATATGTGGGAACACTTTTTTGGTTACTACATGATCCCATATGTGTTAATTCATTGTTTTGATGTCTTCACTATTATTCTACAATGTAGAAAATAGTAAAAATAAAGAAAAACCCTTGAATGAGTAGGTGTGTCAACTTTTGACTGGTACTATTCAAATCTACCTCAATGACCTTGTACCCCTGCACATCGACTCGGTACTGGTACCCTGTAATACATAGCCAAGTTATCATTATCATTGTGTATTTATTATTACTTTTATTATTACTTGTTTTACTTTTCTATTATTTGTCTATTTTCTTTCTCTCTACGTTGTTGGAAAGGGCCCATAAGTAAGCATTTCACTTATTAGTCTACACCTGTTGTGTAGACACCATTACGACTTTCTTACTATTTTTGAGATAAATAGTGGGTTTATTCAGCATGTATAAACGTTAGTGACACACTTGACATGTGATTGGTTGCAGAAGCTCCTCCACCAACCAGAAGAGGGAGCCTGCTCGAGAATACTAACCCTGCCTTATTAGACTCTTCCAACAGCTCTGTGTAGAGGTGAGATGGAACGTGATAAGAGTGGAGCAACACACACAACAGCTGGGGGACCACAAAGTAAAGAGAGTGTCAAATTTAGACTAGTATACTATAGGCTTATCATGGTGGCACTAGCGCCCTTTGTGAATTAGTCATGCACCTGCAGATTGCAATAGTGATATCTTGTATCATGTGTAAGAAATACGATGAAATTATCGTTCTCTCTCATTTTCAGGGATTTCTCTGGTAAATCTGAGTCCGAGGGTAAAGTGGGACAGAAGATTAAACATCTGGTGTGTGTATGTGAGTGTGTCAGACCTGGGTTCAAATACATGCGTATTTAAGTATTTGTTATTTAAATACTTATTTTCTGTGTATTTTAGTATTTTCGAATAATGTGGCCAAATCAGCTATTTCTATTTGAAGTATTTGAAATTATTTTCAGATAACTTCCTATAAATAGCCGAAAATGTTTTCAAAAACTTATTTCAAAATACATTCTTTCAAAAACCCCTAGGACCAAACAGACCTGGGTTCAAATGCATGCAGTATTTGAACATTTGCATTTCCAAATACATTCCAATATATACTTACTTCGAAATGTCTTTGAAAGTAATTGAAATACCCTAAATAGTTTTTGAACCCAGGTCTGGTGTGCGTATAGAAAACATTGAGAACTCCTGCTCTTTCCATGACATAGACTTACCAAGTGAATCCAGGTAAAAGCTATGATCCCTTATTGATGTCACTTGTTAAATGTACATTTACATTTTAGTCATTTAGCAGACACTCTTATGTCTTACAGTTAGTGAGTGCATACATTTTTTTTTACAACCCTGGCGTTGCAAGCGCCATGCTCTACCAACTGAGGACAATCAGTGTAGATGAAGGGGAGGAGAGAGGTTAAAGAAGGATTTTTAAGCCTTGAGACATGGATTGTGTATGTGTGCCATTCAGAGGGTGAATGGGCAAGACTAAATATTGAAGTGCCTTTGAACGGGGTATGGTAGTAGGTGCCAGGCGCAACGGTTTGTGTCAAGAATTGCAACGCTGATGGGTTTTTCACGCTCAACAGTTTCCTGTGTGTATCAAGAATGGTCCACCACCCAAAGGACATCCAGCCAACTTGACACAACTGTGGGCCAGCTTCCCTGTGGAACGCTTTCGACACCTTGTAGAGTCCATGCCCCAACAAATTGAGGCTGTTCTGAGGGCAAAAGAGGAGGGGGGTTACAACAGAAACAAGCACTACAGAGTTTAGAGAGGAGGAACACATGAAGTCAAAGATATGTCATGAGTAGAATACAGTATGTGTGAGGGGAATTGCCATTATCCAGACCCTTATTGTATATATCTATGTTGAATCTGTGACCCTTTGTTTGATATTATCTGTGCTGATCGCTATATAAATGAAATATCTGTGGCAAGAGTTTTTGTTTTATCTTCAAATAAAGTGCGGGTGAAAACAATGAAATGCTAAACTTAAAGTATTTAATTTGTAATATTTAATATTTAAATCTAAATCCCTTTTTATATATACTCATGCTGACCAGCCTGAGACACTGAAAATATACAATCACGTTGTCTCGCCATAATTGTGGAGCATGATTTCAACATAATCATAGTCTCTCTCTACTCATACAGCAGTCAAAGACGTTATTTTTCACATGTTCCCCATGACCTGAATGTAAATTATCCCCTTGGGTGGGCTGCCTCAGTGAAGTGAAAATGGCAGCTTCATTCATACATCAACAATGGGAGCTACAATTGCACCACTCTCTGAGGAAAATGGCCAATTACAGTGGGAAATAGGGGTTTGCTTAGTCACGCTACAAACCACCTTTTTTTAATACGGTGTCTTTTTTAGACATACAGCACAGTAAAGACTAGAGCCTTAAGGGCTGGATTAAATCCGTAGCGCTAAAGTTCGGTGTTAAAAGTGTGATTGAAATTTAAAGGCACCGTTTCTGCGTTGGTGGAGACAACATTCACGGTAAACGCTGCATACTGTATGTCGGCTCAATCGAAAGTTACCTTTAAATTTAAACCGCGCTACAACGTTGATCTTCTGTGCTATGGATTGAATCCAGCCCATACACTAGACAGTATATGGCATTGCTAGAGATGTTAACAAAGTGATCAGGTACAGGAACCTCTTCCCTTCAAGGCACTATCCAAAGGGTCAACCTGAAAAGCAGCGAGCGAAAGCAAATCCACAAAAACAAATGCCCAAATAACTTGAACACAAGTCATGTGCTTAGCCTCAGTCACTGATCAAAGTACTATTTAAACACAAAACTGCCAATACCGGTCAACAATCTCTATACAAAGCACTCATTCTTGTGCTACATACAGTACTTGTGTAATACTAAATGTCCATTATGCCTCAGCTCTGTGAGTACATGCTGCTGTAGACACACTGGGTCTCCTGGTGGTGCTGTAGGTCCAGTCTGCGCTGGAAGCTGCGTTGGCAGTGTGTGCAGCTGAAGGGCCTGTAGCTGCTGTGCTTACGGCTGTGGGTGATGAGGTTGGAGCTCTGGCTGAAGGCCTTGCCACACACCTGGCATACGTGGGGCTTCTCACCTGAGACCGACAGGGACAGACAGCAAGACGTGACATGGAATTCAAGAAGAGAGATACTCTGAGAGCAGCCAGTGTGGGGCAGAATCCTAACATCCAGATGGAAGCAACCTTTGCACAATGTGTAAGTTGTACTATAATGTACGCACACCTGCTGACCTATGTTCAACACACAATGCTCATTTGTGTATGCGTCCTTCCAGTGTACCTCCCCGCACCTGTGTGTATGAAGGTGTGTTTCTTCATGTCAGACTTCTGGTGGAACCTCTTGCCACAGTACTGGCAGGGGTAGGGCCTGATGTCAGAGTGGATGAGCAGGTGGGTGGTCAGGGTGGAGGAGCGCTTGAACACCTTCCCACAAACCTTACAGCTATAGCTACGCTCCTGGAACACACACATTCACAGAGATGTGGTTAGGATTTTGCCATTTCGTTTTTTTATTTTTTTATAGTTTGTGTTGGGAAGTGGAGAGACCTCCACCAATGTACTTCTGCTAGATATACCTTTGGTCTTCCGTACATGCCCAGAGCTTGTCTGAACCTGTAGGGGTGCTCTCTGGCTTTGGCTGACGTGGCCAATGGGACTGCATGCACGTTGTCATGTGACCTGTGTAAATGAGTCTTCAGTACAGCTCCTGAGGACAAGACCTGAGAAAAAGTGAAAGCTAAGAGTAACATCAGATGTACCTCATACTCCCAGAGATGTCAGCCATATTCAACACAATTACCCCTCACAGCCTCTATTCTCACACCAAACAAATCTGCTGTTATGTCATTTTCTGACATGTCACAGAGCCCTGTCAAGTACAATTTCCACCACTCTACTGTCACTCTTGTCTCAGGTCACAAACACCAAACAGTATCTCATTTATTCTATTTTGGTCATGCCTGAAGTGGTTTGCATGGTTTGGAACCACACACCTTTGGTCGATACACCCAATAAGGGCGGACGTGGTGTTCTGATTAAATTGTCATTCCTGACCCTTGCTGGTTCCTCTTACCTTTTCACAGAGGGGGCATGGGCTGGTGGAGTTGTGGTCCATATGTGGCCTGTGGCTCAGTAAGACATGGACCAGTTTCTCCAGCTCCCTCTCTCTGTCAGGGCCCCGGGGCCATTGTAGGGACCAGAGCAGGGCAGACTCTGAAGGCTCCACACCATCATACCCTGGGGTTTCTGTGGAGTAAGTGACATACCAGTAGATTGAGTTTGAAATAGATAGTTGATAATTAGATTTGATAAAGATAGTTATGACAATCAAATGTAGGCAATTTGAAGTGTTTCACACAATGGAATACAAATAAATACAAATATCTATATCTACTTACAGTGAGGGAAAAAAGTATTTGATCCCCTGCTGATTTTGTACGTTTTCCCACTGACAAAGACATGATCAGTCTGTAATTTTAATGGTAGGTTTATTTGAACAGTGAGAGACAGAATAACAACAACAAAATCCAGAAAAACGCATGTCAAAAATGTTATAAATTGATTTGCATTTTAATGAGGGTAATAAGTATTTGACCCCTCTGCAAAACATGACTTAGTACTTGGTGGCAAAACCCTTGTTGGCAATCACAGAGGTCAGACGTTTCTTGTAGTTGGCCACCAGATTTGCACACATCTCAGGAGGGATTTTGTTCCACTCCTCTTTGCAGATCTTCTCCAAGTCATTAAGGTTTCGAGGCTGACGTTTGGCAACTTGAACCTTCAGCTCCCTCCACAGATTTTCTATGGGATTAAGATCTGGAGACTGGCTAGGCCACTCCAGGACCTTAATGTGCTTCTTCTTGAGCCACTCCTTTGTTGCCTTGGCCGTGTGTTTTGGGTCATTGTCATGCTGGAAAACCCATCCACGACCCATTTTCAATGCCCTGGCTGAGGGAAGAAGGTTCTCACCCAAGATTTGGCCCCGTCCATCATCCCTTTGATGCGGTGAAGTTGTCCTGTCCCCTTAGCAGAAAAACACCCCCAAAGCATAATGTTTCCACCTCCATGTTTGACGGTGGGGATGATGTTCTTGGGGTCATAGGCAGCATTCCACCTCCTCCAAACACAGCGAGTTGAGTTGATGCCAAAGAGCTCGATTTTGGTCTCATCTGACCACAACACTTTCACCCAGTTCTCCTCTGAATCATTCAGATGTTCATTGGCAAACTTCAGACTGCCCTGTATATGTGCTTTCATGAGCAGGGGGACCTTGTGGGTGCTGCAGGATTTCAGTCCTTCAAGGCGTAGTGTGTTACCAATTGTTTTCTTGGTGACTATGGTCCCAGCTGCCTTTAGATCATTGACAAGATCCTCCCGTGTAGTTCTGGGCTGATTCCTCACCGTTCTCATGATCATTGCAACTCCACGAGGTGAGATCTTGCATGGAGCCCCAGGCCGAGGGAGATTGACAGTTCTTTTGTGTTTCTTCCATTTGCGAATAATCGCACCAACTGTTGTCACCTTCTCACCAAGCTGCTTGGCGATGGTCTTGTATCCCATTCCAGCCTTGTGTAGGTCTACAATCTTGTCCCTGACATCCTTGGAGAGCTCTTTGGTCTTGGCCATGGTGGAGAGTTTGGAATCTGATTGATTGATTGCTTCTGTGGACAGGTGTCTTTTATACAGGTAACAAGCTGAGATTAGGAGCACTCCCTTTAAGAGTGTGCTCCTAATCTCAGCTCGTTACCTGTATAAAAGACAACTTGGAGCCAGAAATCTTTCTGATTGAGAGGGGGTCAAATACTTATTTCCCTCATTAAAATGCAAATCAATTTTATAACATTTTTGACATGCGTCTTTCTGGATTTTGTTGTTGTTATTCTGTCTCTCACTGTTCAAATAAACCTACCATTAAAATTATAGACTGATAATTTCTTTGTCAGTGGGCAAACGTACAAAATCAGCAGGGGATCAAATACTTTTTTCCCTCACTGTATTTCTTATTTACAATAAATAGACAGTGTAGTGCCATAAAGTCAGGATCAGTTGGGCACCTGCAGACCAGCTGGTCCAGAGGTCAGCTGGCGAGGTGCTGTGTGGTCTGGTTGCCATGGTGTCCCAGCTAGGGCAGGGGTAGTCCAGGGTGTCTTTGACCTCTGACCCTGAGCACAGGTTGTCCTGGGCCTCCTGGAAGGGGCTCTGATGTGGGGACCTTACTTCCTGCCACGCCCTGTTCTGCCTGTCGTGATGATTTGTATGAGGTTGTGGCTGGTCAGGGTTTGTGTGTTTGGTGCCTTTAGAGAAGCAAGGGGGATGAGACCCTGGTCTCTTACTCTTGACCAGGAATGAGCGAGGCATGACAGAGCTGAGGCAAGGGGAAGGTGGAGAGTGTGAGCGAGATAAATACCTACAGAACAGACAAGAGACAAGACGAGGAGTCATTTGAAATTCACTCACAACTTAATGACAGATTCTTTGACAAAGTGTTCCTCTTTATTAAAGAACAACACCTAACTTATATTATTTGTAGATTTTTCATTTCATTTTCTACAAATACCAATGCCCTAAAGACATACATTGAGTATACCAAACGTTAGGAACACCTTTCAGTACAGCCTCAATTCCTCAGGGCATGGACTCTATAAGGTGTAAAAAGCGTTCCACAGGGATGCTGGCCCATGTTGACTCCAATGCTTCCCACAGTTGTGTCCTTTGGGGGGTGGCCCATGTTTATACACACGGGAAACTGTTGAGTGTGAAAAACCCAGCAGCGTTGCAGTACTTGACACAACCGGTGCGCCTGGCACCTACTACCATACCATGTTCAAAGGCACTTAAATATTTTGTCTTGCCCATTCACTCTCTGAATGGCACACATACACAATCCATGTCTCAATTGTCTCAAGGCTTAAAGATCCTTCTTTAACCTGTCTCCTCCCCTTCATCTACACTGATTTAAAGTGGGTTTAACAAGTGACACCAATAAGGAATCATAGCTTTCACCTGGATTCACCTGGTCAGTCTGTCATGGAAAGAGCAGGTGTTCTTAATGTTTTGTACACTCAGTGTATTTATCCACAGAATCATTCACCTCACTTACAGAATTTCTGGAGAATGTGACATGTGTTTGGATCGTAATGACATATTGCTGCAATTAAGTAACGCACATAAAATAGTTTTGATATACTGTATAAAGATGTTTCTACTGTAAGAGATAACGATATTAGAGATAATAAATTTTTTGATAACATTAACATTCATTAATTTATTTTCCACGTAATGTAACAGTCATTCACCAAATTTGTGAAAAAAACAATTAAAAAAATTACTCTGTGAAAATATACAATTACAGATTGCCGCACATTTACACACATCGCACTTATAGTAAGCTGTAATGTCACTCATGTTGCTCTGTATTAGTATTCCTTATCTTCTAATGTAAATGTTAAACACACACCTGTTGATAAATATTCAGTTAAAATGCCAAAGCTTGTGGGTTGGGTTAGAAATGCCACCTGCAAACTGTTTTTAAAAAAACTTTTCAAAAGCAGGTCTTTCTCTGAGGACTACCCTACTCTGCCATTGTTTTAAAGTCAAGCAATTCAAACTGAAATCTCACGATCTGTTGTGATAAATAAATAATTTTGAGCTTTTTACTAAATAGATCCACATCTCTATAATATTTCAAAAGGGTCTAAATATAACATATGTAACCAAATCATTCATCAAATAGCATACAATCCTACCATACAATGCAATCAAATTACAAATGCAACATATTTCCTTTGCAATTCTCCTAATGATATTCACAATTCTACACATTATCTGAATATATATATTTTTGACCATTAATCACCTAGCTGTACATTCATAAACGACACAACCTTTTTCAAAAACAATAGCCTATTTTGGTCCATTTTCAGTCAAGACCAATCCTAAAAATATCTAATATTTTTTTGTGCTCATCAGTTAAATTTATTAAAATGATTTATATCTGTACTGAATTGATCCTCAAATTCAATACAAATAATGCAAAAGATGAAACACCAATCTCATATTATAAAGTTGAAATCTGGTAGAGAGAGGCAGAATTGTTTAACTTACCACTTGAATGCACAGTTGAATGTGTAGTGGTTGTTCTCTCTTTGGTGTCAGTAACATCCCCTTTTCTTAACCCTCCGTTACTTGATGACATGAGAGAAAACAATTGATTTGGTTTGATTTTGAAACAGTTGCTGAACAAAGGATTGTGGGAAAGCGCAACAGAAAACTGACCAGGCAACCTTTACAGTGAATTCAACCTCTCAGCGTACAATTCAAAGCATTTAGCTAAAGGCTAGAAATAAAACAACTACATCTATTAAACTCATACTGTAACATTAATTTCACTCTAACACACATAATACATTATGTGACAATGATGCATATTATTGGTCCTTTTTCAAGATTTATTCTAATCTACGCCAAATATTTTATAATCAGAAATAGTCTATCAGCTAGATAAACTGTTTTTCCTTTGTTTTAGTTTTTGATTGATTGAGAATACAAAATGGAAAAATTTGATATTCCCAACTGGTAACCAACTTCTGTAATGGAAACCTGTGCTTGATGTTCAGCTTGTTGTTTGCATCTTGCCTGTTGTCTTACCTCTAGAGAGGACTGCTCCTGCTACCGTGCACTAGGAAGGACCAAGCACACATCCAAACCTATCCATCTTGGTCTGAGAGTCAATGTTCTATGCGACTAAGTCACAGGTAACTTGGAGATACCGCTAGCAACAGTCTGACTGTAGGCAAGTGTGTACATTAAGGTCACTTCATTGTGTTTAAATACCAAAGTCTCAAATAAAAACAGGAACCTTTACTTTAACCACGTCATCTTGCTATCGGAGGTTATTGACACACACATCACTGGTGTCTATGCAGTGTGGTGTGTGTGTATAATACGCAACCCACACAACTCTCTTCGTGTGACTGTGGTAATTTAAGTGATCTCCAGCACAGAAATAGAAACACTCTCCCACACTAGAACAAAGGTGAAAAGAGCTGCTAGAAGATGACCAGATTTGACTAAACAAGTGAAGTAAAGAGGTGAGATCAAATCAAATCAAATTGTATTTGCCACATGTGCTGAATACAACAGGTGTAGAACCTTACAGTGAAATGCTTACTTACAGCCCTTAACCAACAATGCAGTTTTAAGAAAAAAAGTGTGAAGTAAAAAAAAGATAAATACAAAATAATTAAAGAGCAGCAGTAAAATAAAAGAACAGTAGGGAGGCTATGTACAGAGGGTACCGGTACAGAGTCAATGTGCGGGGGCACCGGTTAGAGATGGCCAAAATAACTGTGTGTTATCGCTGATGTTCATTGACAGTGAAAACGACATTGGAGATCACTGTATGACTCAGCACACGACACCTTAGATTGAAACAGGTCAGAGGCCCTCAGAACAGCCTCAATTCGTCGGGGCATGGACTCTACAAGGTGTCTAAAGCATTTCACAGGGATGCTGGCCCATGTTGACTCCAATGTGGACCATTCTTGATACACACGGGAAACTGTTGAGTGTGAAAAACCCAGCAGCGTTGCAGTTCTTGACACAAACTGGTGCACCTACACTGATTTAAGTGGTTTTAACAAGTTATATCAATAAGGGATCATAGCTTTCACCTGGATTTACCTGGTCAGTCTACTGTATGTCATGGAAAAAGCAGGTGTTCTTAATGTTTTGTACATTCAGTGTATTGTATCCTGTGAGAAGCAGACAGTGGAGTTGAGTGTGCCACTGCCTTGATGTTCTGGAGTGGAGCTTGGCAGAGCGCTGTGGTTACTGTGGCGGGGGGCTGGCAGACTTCTCCCCAGGGTTTCAGGGAGTGCAGACGAGGGAAGGGCAGGTTGTTGAGATGGGGTGGTGGGCTTAGTGGGTTTGTGTCTCGTCTCTGATGGGGGGGTTCAGGGGCTTCTCTCCCTACATCCGTCCCTCTGCTCCCCTGCTGCTGCTCCTGCCTTTCTAGGAACCTGAATCTCTGGGGTCTGGGGTGGAGGGGAGAGGGGGAGGGGGAGGGGTTATGGCTGGTTGGCATTTAGTGTACTTTTACTTTTCTTTGTTTTTGTCTCACCTGTTCTTCTTTCCACTGTGATATGTGCCCTTGCGTTCCAGTATGCTCCTTGCTCTGAGCTCCATTGAAGCAGTCTGTATAAGGCTGTGGTTATGAAACCAGCATCACAAGAGCGAATGGAGTGACAGGTGGGGATGCAAACACAAGACTATATCTGGTCAGAGAGCGACTTGGGGTTGGACTCAACTAGTTAACACACAATGTTAGGACGCGGTCTAAGTGCCGTGGTCCCCCTTGTTTATCACAACTGAGCAAATTTCCCATCATGGCTCCCAATCTTGGGAGCTATGCAGCCCAACCTCAGCAACTCTGGGTTAGGCTGCATTTTGTTGGGGAAGAACAGGTGCCTAGTATAAAACCTACTGGCTGAAAACCTACTGCTCGACTCCCAGTGATTCACTGGGAGTCGTATGGTATGGCCTAAGGAGGTACAAGATCAGGACCAAGAGAGGAAAAAATGGTGAAGCTGTAGAGATCCCCAACAACATCATGCTGGGGCCACACAGCGGCAGAATCTTCTACCCAGGACAGACCACCCGCTGCTATGTCTGTAACGCCATGGACCACCAGGGGACGGATTGCAAGACTGTCAAATGCTGGAGATGCAGTGAGTTCGGCCACAAGTCCAGAGAGTGCACGAGTGAAAGCAAGTGCACACTCTGCAATGGTGATGGGCAGACCTACTTCAACTGTCCACAAGCGTACAGCAACAGAGCATAGAACGGTGTAAGGGAAGCAGAACCTGAAGCTCAACAACTAACTCAGCCAGCAGACGAGCCCGATGACCCCCAGATGCCACAGCACGTCCCAAAACAAGATGAGCAGCAGAGAGATGAGGAAGAGAAACAACACCAACCTGAGAGCAACAGCCAGTCCTACAGCCAGTCCTACAGCCAGTCCTACAGCCAGTCTGACACCACACCAGAGAGCAAGAGTGACGAGGAGAACGATGACAGCTTTGAGTCCACCAGTGAAGAGCCATCCCAAGACTCTCCCCTCCCTGATGAAACAGGTCCTGCAGCAGTCTGGTCCACTCAAATGGAGGCTCGTGATGACGACCCACCAAGCCTTGCCAGTACCCCAGGCCGCCTCCCACCTCCCTCCCTGGTGGCTACCCTCCTCTAATAAATAAAAAACTGCCCTAAATGAGTACCATTAAATAAACTGCATACAAGCAAAACTTAATCAATAATTACAGGACTTTCTTTATTATCAGTATTTATTATGATTATCTCTAATGACCAACAAATGTATGTATTTTTTAAATGTGTGCCTTCTATTTTGCAATGTGTATTTAAAAATATTGTCAACTCATGAATTGTATTAATTATTGATTGAAAATAGATACTTATATATACAAAATAAATAAAGATTATATTAAAACTAAAAATCTAAAATCAAAAAGATATGATGCAAAACAACATCTAATAAACGAGAAAAGAAACAGAAAGTAATTTTTTTAAAGATGATCATATACATTTAAAAAAGAGCGGGGTGTGGGGCCAGAGTAGCGAATTCTGGGCCGAGCCCAGCGTCACTGACTATTGTGGTTTTAACACTCTGCACCGGAACCCCCTGTATATATAGCCTCCCTACTGTTATTTTATTTTACTTCTGCTCTTTTTTTCTCAACACTTTTGTTGTTTTATTCTACTATTTTTTATTAAAAATACATGCACTGTTGGTTAAGGGCTGTAAGTAAGCATTTCACTGTAATGTCTGCAACTGTTGTATTTGGCGCATGTGGCCAATAAAATTTGATTTGATTTGATGTTATTGTGCATCTGCAAGCAGGCAAAGTCACATACACACGTGCATGCATTCAGTGCACACACTCAAACGTGAACAGTCACACACAGGCATATAGTCACACAGGCTACACCTTATCATTAAGGACACACTCTTGAAAACATACAAACAGTAAAACATGCCAGTAAAGGCATCCAAATTCTGTTGACAAAATCGGCCGATATAGAATAGAGGAGAAACAATAGGCGTTTTCACACTTGTACATTTTCCCTGCATGGGGCAACCACAGGAGGAAATTATCTAATGAAAAAAACGCCCATCGCTGATAGCTACAAGGAGTCCAAATTTACCTCACTAATCACACATTACCACACATTAATCAATAAAACACATCCAACAAATGAACATGCAAAGAGAGAAAGAGGGAGAGAGAGAGAGATGGAGCTGGCCAGAGGGCTTCTGTCAACAGTAAGCCATGGTTACGGCTGACTGTGTGCATCTCTGTATGTGTGGTTGGTGGGTGGCTGTGGTTTCAGTCAGGGTGCTGGGTGTACTTTCTCATGGCCCACATCTTATTTTTCTCTGTCACCAACAGGACTCGCTCCCCACCCACCCATCTCACACATTAATTTCCCCTCTTTCTCTCTCTCACACATTACTTGGCAAATGGTGAGAAGGTGAGTGAGAGGGCAGGAGCTTCTGACTACTCTAACAAAAAAACAGACCTGTGGTGTAACAATAAACATACTGCCTTTCTAGATGAAAAAATGTATTGAAGCGGTTACCTCAGGTCTCCTGGCCATGCCTACTACCAGACATCTCTAGACACATCTAAATGTCATGGCTGCTTTGTACCTCTGCCTTCCTGTTATATTCTCTTTCTCTCTAAATCTTTCTTCATGGCATTTCGCTCTGTTTCTAGTCTTGTGTATACGGCCTAGAAGCCTGGCATGTGATGCTACTCTCTCTCTTACTATGAAAGGATAGTGGGAGGTCAGAGGGTGTGAGAACTCTGAAAGTCTACGGTACCCAAGGCAGTCATACCTCCCTGTACACTACAACAGTATAATAACCTAACACCATCACCACATGGAAATTTTATGCATCCTAATTTATTTAGCATTTATCATCTGTCATACTGTAGATGAGTGAATAGGATGTGACTGCTCTGCGTGGTCCCATCTTAACACTTCCCCTTATTCAGAGCTAAGATATCAGTCATAGTGTTAAAAAGCACTTGTGTCACTGTCACAAATCTCGCTAATCTTGATCCAGCAAAAGTGTTATGAGATCAGAAAAAGGGACTTTATTATTTTGGCCTTGATGGTACTAAAACGATGTACAGTGCCTTCAGAAAGTATTCACACCCCTTGACTTTTTCAAAATGTTGTTGTGTTACAGCCTGAATATAAAATGGATTACATTGGTATTTTGTGTCACTGATATACACACAATACCCCATAATGTCAAAGTGGAATTAAAAATGAAAAGCTGTAATGTCTTGAGTCAATAAGTATTCAACCCCTTTGTTATGGCAAGCCTAAGTAATAAGATGCATGGACTCAGTCTGTGTGCAATAATATTGTTTAACATGGTTTTTTTATGACTACCCCATCTCTGTAACCCACACATACAATTATCTGTAAGGTCCCTCAGTCGAGCAATGAATTTCAAGCACAGATTCAACCACAAAGATCAGGGAGGTTTTCCAATGGCTTGCAGAGAAGGGCACCTATTGGTAGATGTTTTTTTTTTTTATAGCAGACACTGAATATCCCTTTGAGCATGGTGAAGTTATTAATTACGCTTTGGATGATGTATCAATACACCCAGTCACAACAAAGATGCAGGTGTCCTTCCTAACTCAGTTGCCGGAGAGGAAGGAAACCGCTCAGGGATTTCACCATGAGGCCAATGGTGACTTTAAAACAGTTAGAGCTTAATAGCTGTGATAGGAGAAAACTGAGGATGGATCAACAACATTGTGGTTACTCCACAAAGTAACCTAAATGACAGAGTGAATATAAAAATATTCCAAAACATGCATCCTGTTTGCAACAAGGCACTAAAGTAATACTGCAAAGAATGTGGCAAAGAAATGAATGTTTTGTCTAAATACAAAGTGTTATGTTTGGGGCAACTACAACACAACACATTACTGAGTACCACTCTCCATAGTTTCAAGCATGGTGGAGGCTGCATCCTGTTATGAGAATGCTTGTCATCGGCAAGGACTAGGGAGTTTTTTAGGATGAAAAGAAAGGGAATAGGCAACATCCTAGAGGAAAACTGGTTCAGTCTGCTTTCTAACAGACACTGGGAGACAAATTCACCTTTCAGCAGGAAAATACACAAGGCCAAAACTACACTGGAGTTGCTTACCAAGACAACATTGAATGTTCCTGAGTGACCTAGTTACAGTTTTGACTTAAATCGACTTGAACATCTATGGCAAGACTTGAAAATGGCTGTCTAGCAATGGTCAACAACCAACTTGATAGAGCTTGAAGAATTTAAAAAAGAATAATGGGCAAATATGGTACAATCCAGGTGTTCAAAGCTCTTAGAGACTTACCCAGAAAGACTCACAGTTGTAATCGCCACTGTATCGCTGCATTCTAAACTCTGATGGTGGATCTCTATGTGTATGAAGGGACTGTTGTTTTGGCTAGGTGACTCAGGTCTCTGCTCTCTACCCCGCATTGATGTTGAATGTGATATGTATGAATTGTAATATATTTCCTGCTAAAATAAAACATTATTACAAATATATACAAAAATAAAGAAATAACTGAGGGAGGGAGAAGTCAATTTACTGACACTCACAAGTACACACAAGCACTCACACACACATAAACACACACACACACACCCAAACACACGGGGTGGATGTGTGAGGCCTCTGTCACACACACCACACCCAGAACACCAGTCTCTCTGCCTCACACACATGAATAAGCAAACACAAACACATAGCCTACACACCAAATATGCACAGCAGTTTTGCAGTCTTTTATGTCCAACTGACTTTGGAGGCTTGTATAGAGATACAATATCAACAACAGAAATATCCAGAATAGCAATAGTACATTGAACTACTATGCCCAATATGACATAATGTAAGGATATTCAGGTAACTGCCAAAATAAAGGAAACATTTGGGTAAATGAGGGATACGAAGTATAGCCTCCTGAGACCCAGCAATTCTTTTTTGTCCTCTTTAGTGGACATCAGTCATTGGTCCTTATCTCTGAGGCCATACAAGCCACTATATTAAGTCCTGTTGTCACTTTGAGAGGACATTCTGGGCTTTTCAATTATATCACATGTGTGGGGGTATGACCTTGACAACTTTATCTTCCTGGTCCTGGAAATCTGAAAAGAAGTGTGTGTAATTATTAATTATAATTTTTGTGAGTTTGACATTAAAATTGTTTCTAGAAAGTGAATATCTCAGGAATAGTTAAATGAGTTGGCAGGACTGTAATAATTTTGTCACATTAAATAAGAGCTAAATAAGAGCTTATCAAGAAATGTCCTCTGTAGTGGACATCCGGATGCCGCAACTATGTTTTTCACCTTCTGTACCCATTGACTGTAATGTTCATATTTATGTCCTAATGACCACTACAGAAGACAATTTAGCATTTACAATCAAATATAAATAACAATATATATAGTTCTTGGTAACGTTTTTTTTCATCCCAAACACTTATGTTATGTAAAATTAAATACATGAAAATAATAATAAAGGAGGGTCTCAGGAGGATATTGAAAGTAGGTGCTTCCACACAGGTTTGGTTCCTGAGTTATTTAAGCAATTAACATCCCATCATGCTTATCATGTACAGTACCAGTCAAGAGTTTGGACACACCTACTCATTCAAGGGTTTGTCTTTATTTTTACTATTTTCTACATTGTAGAATAATAGTGAAGACATCAAAACTATGAAATAACACATATGGAATCATGTAGTAACCAAATCAGTGTTAAACAAATCAAAATATATTTTATATTTGAGATTCTTCAAATAGCCACCCTTTGCCTTGATGACAACTTTGCACACTCTTGACATTCTTTCAACCAGCTTCACCTGGAATGCTTAACCAACAGTCTTGAAGGAGTTCCCAAATATGCTGAGCACTTGTTGGCTGCTTTTCGTTCACTCTGCCGTCCGACTCATCCCAAACCATCTCAATTGGGTTGAGGTTGCGGGATTGTGGAGGCCAGGTCATCTGATGCAGCACTGCATCACTCTCCTTCTTGGTAAAATAGCCCTTAAACAGCCTGGATGTGTGTTGGGTCATTGTCCTGTTGAAAAACAAATGATAGTCCCACTAAGCCCAAACCAGAAGGGATGGTGTATCGCTGCAGTGTGCCTTGAATTCTAAATAAATCATAGTGTCACCAGCAAAGCACCCCTCACCATAACACCTCCTCCTCCATGCTTTACGGTAGGAACTACACAGGCGGAGATCATCCGTTCACCCACACCGCATCTCACAAAGACACGGCGGTTGAAACCAAAACCTTAAATTTGGACTCCAGACCAAAGGACAAATTTCCACCAGTCTAATGTCCATTGCTCATGTTTCTTGGCCCAAGCAGGTCTCTTCTTCTTATTGGTGTCCTTTAGTAGTGGTTTCTTTGCAGAAATTCGACCATGAAGGCCTGCTTCACACAGTCCCCTCTGAACAGTTGATGTTGAGATGTGTCTCTGACTTCAACTCTGTGAAGCATTTATTTGGGCTGCAATTACTGAGGCTGGTAACTCTAATGAACTTATCCACTGCAGCAGAGGTAACTCTGGGTCTTCCATTCCTGTGGCGGTCCTCATGAGAGCCAGTTTACATTTACATTTTAGTCATTTAGCTGACGCTCTTATCCAGAGCGACTTACAGTTAGTGAGTGCCTACATTTTTTTTTTTTTTTTTCATAGCACTTGATCATAGCACTTGATGGTTTTTGCGACTGCACTTGAAGAAACTTTCAAAGTTCTTGAAATGTTCCATATTGACTGACCTTCATGTCTTAAAGTAATGATGGCTGTTGTTTCTCTTTGCTTATTTGAGCTGTTCTTGCCATAATATGGACTTGGTCTTTTACCAAATAGGGCTATCTTCTGTATACCTCCCTACCTTGTCACAACACAACTGATTGGCTCAAACGCATTAAGAAGGAAAGAAATTCCACAAATTAAGACACACCTTTTAATTTAAATGTATTCCAGGTGACTACCTCATGAAGTTGGTTGAGAGAATGCCAAGTGTGCACACACACACACAAACATACATTTACACAAGGAAAAGGGTGGCTACTTTGAAGAATCTAAAATATAAAATATATTTTGATTTGTTTAACACTTTTTTGGTTACTACATGATTCCATATGTGTTATTTCATAGTTTTGATGTCTTCACTATTCTTCTACAATGTAAAAAATACTAAGAATAAAGAAAAACCCTTGAATGAGTAGGTGTGTTCAAACTTTTGACTGGTAGTGTGTAGAAATGTTTCCCAGTTGCCCATTATCTTGGCTACCATGGCTAGAAGAAGAGATTTCAGTGACTTTGAAAGAGGGGTCTCAAAGGAGCATAGGGGACTTAATAAAGGGTGAGTGCGCATGTGTGTGTGTGTGTCTCAGTCACCAGATCTCAACCCAATTGAACACTTATGGGAGATTCTGGAGCGGCACCTGAGACACTTGTAGAATCATTGAAGCTGTTAAAGCAGCTCATGGTGGCCCAATGCCCTATTAAGACACTTTACTTTATATATTTATTTTGTCAGTTACCTGCATATAAGGATAGAGATGAATTGGACATTAATGTAGATGCACTGCAGAAAACCATGCTTATCAGATGAGGCAGAATAAGCTATAAAATCCACCTCTGTCTCTTTCAGCTGCGATTCACAATGTCATGAGATTTTCTCTCTCTCTCAAGTTCACACATCCCTTTCACATCCGCACTGGTTCCCATCACTGCAAGGTTGCACCCATCCAGTCCCAGCGTCCGCTTTTCTAACCTCTCTAGGCCATCACGAATAGACATACACCCTAAGAAACACACAGCTGTGTACAATAGGCTACATCATTTTGGCAATCTCCCTCCATTTAGTTACTGTAAGCGTTCTAAAACTCCACCTGACCCAGATACCACACACACACACCTACAAAATGGAACAAATAGAAGTTCAATAACATAAAACAAATGGCAAATCCAATAACCCAATCACATGCTATTACTGTACAGTACCCTATGCCTGATCACCAGGACAAGATAATGGACCAAGAAATACATTTCCTCCCACAATAATTTAGTGACTCTTTAACATAGTTAGAAGCTTATAGTGGTGGTGATTGACACTCTGGTAGTCTTTGCCTTATCATCAATGACCCCTGGTGGATATGGAGCATCAATGACCCCTGGTGGATATGGAGCATCAATGACCCCTGGTGGATATGGAGCATCAATGCATCTTATTATTCATCATCGTGTGTCAATACTATATTAGTGAGTTTGTACGCATTAAATCACCCCAGATTCGACCAAATAGAGAGATTTTATTTAGATTGATATCTTTGCTAGTTGCTAAATATACACTCAATTATGGAAAAGAAGATATTCTTGGGTTGTGGTACAGCGGATCTGTCTCACACAGAAGGCATCTTGCCGTGAACCCGGATGCGATAAACACATGTGTATTCCTGGTGACCCCAGTTGCTGAGGATGCGAAGCTCCACATAGTGATACACACTGTTAAGGTTCTGAGAGAGAAAAGTCCAGTGTTAGAATCATTTTGACACTTTTATTATTTCAGCCCGCCTGTTGCATAAACAATCATCCCAAAAGTTGAACTGCTTAAAGCCTAATTAAATTGGAATAATCTGAGTCATGGTCTGGAATTATGTCATCTGTATCTCTACCACGTGTATCTCTACCATGTGTATCCCCACTGGGCACAGACGTCAATTCAACGTCTATTCCACTTTGGTTCAATGTAATTTTATTGAAATGAAGTGGAAACAACGTTGATTCAACCAGTGTGTGCCCAGTGGGTCTCTTCCATGTGTATCTCTAATATCTCTTTGTTAGTATCTGACTCACAGGCAGTTTAAATGTCTGGACAGGATCCCCAGCCTGGTTAAACATGAAAGTCCCAAGCCGGGTTCCCTCTTCTCTGTCAGTAGCCATGCCCTACACACACAGACAGAGAGAGAGAAAGAGAGAGAGATAGAGAGTTAATTAAAGGTACTCAGCATAACACTCCAAAAACATCCCTGTGTGGTTCTGATCAAATATACAGGGGTCAGAGGTGACTCACGTAGACGGCGAAGTCCTTGGGAGCGCTTTTGATGTGTCCGGTGGCAGAGATGGCGGCGGAGATATGCTCCACAGTAACGTGGGTGACGTGGACAGGGTGAGACAGGGCCAGGTAGTCCCGGCCGTGGACCGCAAACTACCAACCCGTGGATATAAGGAGAGGGAGAGAGCGGAAGTGGAGAGTTATTCTAAAGGATGCGGCAGAACGCTCAAAGAACCTGATGGTTACGTGACAGGTAGATAGGGGTCAAGGTGACATGCACAGGAACGGCAACACTTGGAAGGCTATGACGTGACCGTTGGAGAGGAGAGATGCGGGATAGTAGTATGGGACGGGAAGGGGAGGAGAGGAGAACGGTCATGTGACTGGCAGGTGAGAGACGGCCAACAGACGAGGGCATGCACCCGATGGACCGTTTAGGGAGAGAGGAAAAGGAGAAGAGAGGGAGGAAGCAAGAGAGGAGGAGTTGAAGTGGAGTAAGGATTGAAGATGGCACATCGTTTAGAGGAAGAGAGAGAGAAGAAACAGAGAGGAGAGAGAGAGGAAGTGAGAGAGAGAAGAGAGAGAAGAGAGAGAGAGAGAGAGAGAGAGAGAGAGAGAGAGAGAGAGAGAAGAGAGGAGAGAGTGAAATGACTTTGGAGGATGAGAGAGAGGTGAGGTGATGGAGGGAGAGGAAGAGAGCGAGAGAGAGAGAGCGAGAAGAAGAGAGAGACGAGGAGATACGGAGAGAGAGAGAGAGGAATGAGAGAGAGAGAGGCGAGAGAGAGGAGAGAGAGAGAAGAAAGAAAGAAAGAAAGAAAGAAAGAGGGTCCCTACCTGGATGACAGTCCGGGGGCTCTCTGATGGAAACCACAGGGGAATCCCCAGGAAACTCACGTGGGCCGAACCGGTTTTATATGTCTCAGAGCACCGACTGGTCACAATGCTGCCACCTACACACACACACGCGCGGACACACACACACGCGCGGACACACACACACGCGCGGACACACACACACGCGCGGACACACACACACACACACACACACACACACACACACACACACACACAGTGAGCTCTGAGCATATTCAATAATATAGTCTATACCAGGAATCATCAACTAGATTCAACCGCGGGCCGATTTTTTCGTGAGTGGATGGTCGGGGGACCGGAACATAAAAGAATCCCAAACAGATATAATATTTGACAAAAACATGATCATTTCAAAACTTGCTTACATTTGTATACAATCATGTGTCTCTCTATTATGCGTGGGAATACATGGGAACAGATTTCCAAAAGTAAAATAACTGGTGTTTATACAGTCTTTTATGTCCAAAAAAATAAGAAATATGTAAAAAAAATTGCTCAGAAAACTGTGGGGGGGGGGGGGCAAATAAAATCACCAGTTGGGGAACCCTGATCTATACAGTATACAATGGTGCTGAACAGTGATGATATCACAAACCTTGGGACTCGAGGGCGAAGTTGGGCATTTTGTCAGCCAGTGGACGACTGTAGTCTTTCACCACCTGTTTCACATCCTGACACACACACACACACACACCCACACACAAACATACATTTACACACGATTATATCACATTTCATGTTTATTTTGTGGGCAAATAATACAAACTATTTAAAAACTACCTGGGCTAGTCTATCTCTGAGCCATTTGCCCATGGCCTCTTTGAACTCAGGGGTCAGGTGTGTGTTGGTTGGTGTCGGAGCGGGAGGAGGCTGGTTCTTTATAGAGGTCACCTGATGCTGCAGCTACAGAAACAGAGATCACATACATTAGGAAAGAAAGGGTGTGTGTGTGTGTGTGTGTGTGTGTGTGTGTGTGTGTGTGTGTGTGTGTGTGTGTGTGTGTGTGTGTGTGTGTGTGTGTGTGTGTGTGTATTACCGTGTTGCTGACGTCCTCCAGGGCCCTAACTCTTCCTCTAGTAAGGAATTGGTGTTCTTGATGATCAGCCAACTGCTTGCTGAACTCTGTAGCTTCCTGATCCAGGCGACGATCAAAACTCACACTCTCAAAGCCCACACTAGAGACAATACAATACAATACAAACCAATACAATACAATACAACTTTATTTTCCATTTTGGGAGAGAGGTTTGTCCTCTAGAATAGAATACAACATAACTTTTAGGAGTAGGAGCTAGGGGCTAGGGTTTAGGGGCTAGGAGCTAGGGGATAGGGTTTAGGGGCTAGGAGCTAGGGGCTAGGGTTTAGGGGCTAGGAACTAGGGGCTAGGGTTTAGGGGCTAGGAGCTAGGGGCTAGGGTTTAGGGGCTAGGAGCTAGGGGCTAGGCACTGAGCTAGTTTCAGGACTGGCCCACACTCACCTGTCAACGCTCACTCTCATGTCGTCAATCTCGGCCCTCACGTCCCTCAGGTCCTTAGTCATTATTTGCACCATCTGTAGGGGAGACAAACTCAATTCAGTTCAATTCAATTCCATTGCCTTAATTCATTCCTGAGCTGCAATTATTGACACCTAAATTAAAGAATATTGGACGAAACACAACGTTGGGCAGTGTTTTTAAACTTTCAAGGTATGCCAATTTAAAGGGATAGATTGAGGCGTCTCACCTCGGAAATGTCCCGTTGCTGCTTTTCTTTCTGTTTCATCATTTCAATCTCTCTCTGCAAGACACAAGTCAGATAACCAAATTAATATGTCCATCGGAGTTGAGGTCAATTCCATTTAAATTCTAGTCAATTGAGAAAGGGAACAAACTCCAATTGAAAATCTAAATGTTCCTAATTGAAAAGCATTGAAGAGACTAGGAATTGGAATTGGAATTTTGGTGTACTTCCCTGAAATGATGGAATTTAAATGGAATTGATCCCAACCTATTTTCAGCATACTCTCTCTCCCTCTCATCCCTCTTTCTCTCTCTCTCTCTCTCGCTCTCTCTCACCAGTATACTATCCATTTTCATTTCGAAAGCTGAATTCATGGTAGGAGTTCCATGCTGTCGAAAGAGATTCAACAAGTCTTTATTGGACTATCATGCTCATAGCTTCAATGCCGCATTCACCCAATCAAGTCATAGATAATACAGACATGATATTTACAGTAGGCCTAAGTACAACATTAGACAGATGAAAAACAGGTCCTACCATAGTCTTTTGAGTCAGGTCAGGTCGAGGGTCAGGTTGAGTCGGTCGGGTCATCAGATTCATTTTCATGGTGGGGAATGCAGTTGAAAACAGGAATACTGCTGGGAAGATATTGTAGTACTAGTTACACAGAGGACATCTAGTTGATTAGGAGGACATTTAGATGTGTAAACATGTGATGTAACACTCACCGAAGGTCAGAAGAAAGGGGAGGAGGAAGAGCAGGATGGCAAACCAGGAAGGCAACCAGGAAGGCAACCATGAACGGGCTACATGGGGAGACACATAGAGCCAAAGCTAATACTAATGCTAACAAACAAGGCACAAGCAGAGAGAAAAGCTAACGCTCAGCTAATGCTAACAAACAAACTACGAGCATAGAGACCAGGTGTCTCTAATGTTGTCTCTCATTCACAAACACACACACACACTGCACTCACTGCAGCTAGCACCGGTCCTTGTGCTGATGCCACTAGAGAAGCTCCTGCTGGAGCGTGTCCTAAGCCTTGGTGGCTCTTCAGAGCAGTAGCCAGAGCTGTAGCTCATGCTGGAGAAGCTCAGGCTGGGCTCCAGGGCCACACTGGGGGCCACACTAGAAGGAGACAGGAAGGTCTGCCTTCTCTGGGTGGCCCTCAATGTCGGAGCCAAGCCTGACATAGGGAGGGAGAGGGGGAGAGGCAGAGAGAAGGAGAGAAGGGAGGTTGAGTATTTTAGACATTTACAGTATATTGTGTATACATATCAAATTATTTCCGATCGACACAAGTGTTGGGGTTAGGGGGTTGGTGCTTAGCCTGGTCCCAGATCTATTTGTGCTATCTTGCCAACTCCTATGGCCATTGCCATGGCGTGACAATGACCACAGGAGCTGGAAGGACAGAACAAACAGATCTCAGACCAGGCTACTAGTCGGCACAAGGGGCTAATAGAGGTTGTCAATGTGAACACCAACTAGCTAGGACAGGAAGTGATGTCTGCAGTACCAATGTCATCGGCATTGATGTTTCACTCATTGGTGACGTTGGTGGCACTGACAGTGCCGCTGGCCTGACTGGATCGGGAAGAACCGCCCTTACGCCCCCCAGTTCTCTTCTTATTGAAAACCCTGAGAGGGACACACACAGTTTTAACATTGTTCTAACACTACCGTACGATACAAAAAAGATCACACACAAGATGAACTCATAATCACCTGACGGGGCTCTCCCTATAGGAGATGCTGGAGGAAGACTCTTCATCAGAGGACTGGTTATAGTACCCTACGGTTACCAGCCTCTCGCTTCTCCTAGGCATGACTGAGAGAGAGAGTGAGAGAGCAAGAGAGAGCATGCTGAAAATAGGTTGGGTCAATTCCATTTAAAATTCCATCACTTCAGGGAAGTAGCCTAAAACTCTAATTCCAATTCCTAGTCTCTTCAATGCTTTTCAATTAGGAACATTTTGAATTTCAATTGGAGTTTTATTGATTTCAAATTAACCTACTTTTAAACAAATAGGCCTACTGACTAAAACCAGGCATTTTATCACAGATATAAATAGCCTTCCACTTACCGAAGTCTTGCACTCATATGCTACAGTAATCTCAGTAATTTCGCAGTCTGTAAAATCAGATGTTGCAAGAGCAAGTGAAACTTTGCAAATGAGCCACTGTGTTGAAAACTGCAATGACATGGTTATTTACATTGTTGTGTCGATTGAACCCAGGTCACGTCATAATCGTCTCTCTGCGTGTTCTGAGCTACTTGATTGACGGGCAGTGCGATCCCTACCCTAAACCCTAACCTTAACCCCTACCCTAACCTTAACTATAACCCTTACTTAACCCCAACCTGAACCCTTACCTTAACCCTTTTAAATGTCAACTTCAATGGGGTATGTCCCAAGGTTCCCAGATAGCACGGACCCTTGATTGACAGTGGTCCTCCCGCTCATTCGTCTCCAAATTGATTGTTCGAATAAGTAACCCCATGAGTTTATTTTTTTTATTTATTACGTTTATTAAAAAGGGACCATCTACAATTAATACAAATCTCACAAGAAATTTGATGCATTGTAATTTGTATTAGATTTAGCCTAGCTAAACAGCTCATTTAGGTTTCATCTCTAGTCCCTGGCCCGGGCAGCTGAACGATAGCCTTCATATGTTAGGTCTATTGGAGTCTCATGATACAAACTGTAAGCCTATAAACTACTGTAAGAGGGAACTTGTGCCAGCCAAGGTGAAATAAATAAGCACAATAGATATTGTATATCTTTGTAATAATACTTTTTTAGGGGGGTAGGCCTAGTCTGCAGGCAGAGCCTTCTATTGCAATAAAAGGCTTTGGCTACGGACTGTGCTGAAATGAATTAGATTTCTTCTCGACTTCGTCATGACAACCGTTAAAGAGCCAAAACCCTGTGTTTGTCACCACTGCGGCGGCGCTCCACTCGCAACACCAGTCACCGCCCGCAATAGAAAAGTTTTTCATGAAGTTTCATTCTTGAGAGAACCGGACCGCACCGGACTAGTCACCCCAGAGCGATGCACCGCACAATTCACTGTTGTTTTTCTAGACACCGCTTGAGCAGCATACGGATAAGAAAACGTTTTTGTGAAAGAGAAAGCTGTCTGACAAACGTGCTGTGAATGCAGGTAAGTTTTATTATTTTTGCATTGTGTTATTTAACAACTCTTGAGAATACTTAACGCATCTGATTTAATAACTGATCAACTTTAAATGTAAATCTTAGCCTAAATATATGCTACTGAAATACTGCAGTCCAATGTCACACTCACATAAAGGTGTAACACAATGCGAATGACACTTCCAATATTTTGTTGTCCACTTTTCCTCTAGCCTACCCTACTTGTCATAACCAGGGAACACTGGTATACTGACTAGTCTACTACCTCATATCTGTATATGGCAGTGTGTCAATTAAAACTGCAGTCAACAAGATGTCACATATTACCCTATTACTTGGAACCATAGTAGCTCAGTTGGTAGAGCATGGCGCTTGCAACGCCAGGGTTGTGGGTTCGATTCCCACGGGGGACCAGTACGAAAATGTATGCACTCACTACTGTAAGTCGCACTGGATAAGAGCGTCTGCTAAAATGTAAACTATATTAGGCAAGTGTTTTTTAAGCATATTCTCTTTCAGAAGGGGAGGGTAAGCACTTTAAGTTTGTTTAACAAAGCTCTCTGGAACAGTTCTACACCACAAGACTTGCTGGTTGGGGAAAAAACATAGTGGGTTGAACAGGAGACCAGTCATAAATGAGTCTGTCTCCTATATAGTGCTATTTTTCCTCTCACTTCCTTTTCTGAATATTTTGTCACTTTCCCTACAGTCAAATCTCCTACACCAATGTTTGGTCTGGTCCCACTGGAGGACTGCAACTGATTCCTTTCAGGTCTGCAATTGAGTCAGGATCCTGGCACAAGAAGCATTGGAGTTGGTGACAGCAGAATCACGATTCCACCATTTTGTTAGCCAGCCCTTCACCCAGCATAAGCCATGTTCAGCCTGTCAGAGCTGGCCTCTCCGAGTGAGCGGCAGGGCAGCTCCAAGCTGCTGAAGCCCTGGTGGGAGGTCTTCATGGAGTACCTGGTAGTGCTGATGCTCATGGTGTCTGTGTTGTCAGGCACCCTGTTGCTGTCTCGAGACAGGGTGGTGTGTCTCCCCCTGGACCTCGCTACCACCCCCACTAACCAGAGCACCTCCTCCAGCAGTGGTGCCGTCCCTCAACCCCACCCACCTAACAGGCCCCCCACCAAGCCATCCCCCCTACCAGCCAACCCCTGGAGCCCTGCTAGGGGCAGGCGCACTCACCTGGACTACCAGCAGTACGTCTACATTAGCCAGGTGTGCTACCACGAGGCCCTGCCCTGGTACTCCCGCTTCTTCCCCTATGTGGCTCTGCTCCAGTCCCTGGTGCTATTGGCCAGCGGATGCTTCTGGTTCCACTTCCCCCTCACCTCTGCCCGCATAGAGCACTTCCTGGCCATCCTGGCCAAGTGCTGTGAGTCGCCCTGGACCTCCCGTGCCCTGTCCCATGCCGCCCGCCAGGAGGAGGGAGGGGAGGAGACAGGACCCCAGGATCTCCAAATGCCTCCTCCTACTCTCCTGTCTTCACCCTCCATACCCCGCAACCGCCAGTCTAGCCTGGACTCGGGCACAGACAGCCCCCTGCTGGTAAGATCGGATAGCGCGTCCACTGCAACCCCTCCCTCGCCCTGCCCCTCCACTCTCTCCCGGACCTCCTCCCTGTCCTCCGTGTCTCTGTCCCGGGCCCGTGTCCCGGCTTCCAAATCCCCTGTGGTGCTGGATGGTTCACGGCGGGTTGCCAGTTTGGACCGGAGTGACGGAGAACAGGCCAGGGCACTGTTCGAGAGGGTGCGCCGCTTCCGCTCCCACTGTGAGAACTCTGAAGTAATCTACAAGGTCAGGGGTCATTTACTGAATGTCTCTGAACTCTTTTTTTATGTATCTGTTTATCATACCACACCTCCACTTCACTATCCCTGTTTCCTCCTCACTCCTGCTGTAGGTGTACTTGGCCCAGACGGTGTTCAAGCTGCTGCTGGTGGTGCTGATAGTGGGCTACACCACCCCTCTGATGGGCTCGATCTCGTTCACCCACACCTGCCTGCCCCAGGCCCATGCCCTGACTGGCTACAGTGCCTTTGAGTGTACCCATGCCCTGGCCTCAGTCCTCCACAAGTTGCTGCTGGCCTACATCAGCCTGGTGGGGCTGTTTGGCCTGCTGAGCCTCTACACCCTCAGCTGGATCCTCCACAGGTCTGGATAGCAGATTAGTGTCAAGACTTTTTTGAGTGTTGTGTCTGTAATTTGCATTTTATTTTCCCATCTGTTTTAATTGGCTTTGCTCTGCAGCCAGTGGTGTAAAGTACTTAAGTAAACATACTTTAAAGTACTACGTAAGTATTTTAGCAATTACATTTACTTTTGAGACGTAAGTATATTTAAAACCAAATACTTTTAGACTTTTACTCAAGTAGTATTTTTCTGGGTGACTTTCACTTTTACTTGATTCATTTTCTAATTAAAGTATCTTTACTTTTACTCAAGTATGACAATTTGGTACTTTTTCCACCACTGTCTGCAGCATAATACACTGTTAGTACCTTTACTGTTAACTATACAGTGCTCTGTTTGTGGTTGTCCACCCCTCAGCTGCCTGCGTCAATACTCCTTTAACAAACTGAGGGAGCTGGGCTCCATGAGGGATGTCCCTGACCTGTGTAATGACCTGGCCTTCCTGTTACATATGGCTGACCAGTACGACCCCCTGCTGGCCCAGCGCCTTTCCGTCTTCCTGTCACCCGTCAGCGAGACACGCCTGCTGGAGGAGAGCCTGGAGAGGCGCTGGGGGGCCGAGAGGCTGCGCTCCATGACCACGGTCGACCCCGAGGGACGGCCCCTGCTGCAGCTGGTGGCCCTGCCGCGCCTGCCCCCCGCCCTCTTCACCCTCAGCCAGTTGGTGGTACTCAAGCTGGAGCTCATCACGGACGCCAAGCTCCCCGCACAGGTGGCCAACATGACCTCACTCAGGTGAGCCATATAGCCAACAATGAAGCCACCAAATATTGAAAGAATGTTCATGAAATATACACTTTATACAAGTGTTTGGCTTGGTGTGTTCTAGACAAGGGGCTTCAACTGTTTTATTTGTCACAACAGGGAGCTTCATTTGTACCACTGTACTGCAGCCATGCAGCCTGGTGCCCTGGTGGTTCTGCAGGAGCGTCTGGAGGCCCTGCACCTCACCTTCACCCAGGCTGCAGAGATCCCCGGCTGGGTCTACTCTCTCCGCGGCCTGCAGCAGCTGCACCTGTCTGGCCGGTTGGGCTGTGAGGGCGGGGTGGGCCGTGGCTGGGCCCTGGGAAGCCTCCGGCAGCTCCGTCACCTCCGTGTGCTGGTCCTGAGGGGCATGCTGCAGCGTGTACCCGGGGAGTTGGGGGAGGTGGCGGGAAGCCTGGTGAGGCTGGAGATCCACAACGAGGGCTCCAGGCTGCTGGTGCTGACAGGGCTGCGGCGTGTGGCCGGCCTGACAGAGCTGCAGCTGCAGGACTGCCACCTGGAACGCCTACCCTCGGCCCTGCTGGCCCTCACCAGCCTGCGCACCCTGGATCTGCAGCACAACAGCCTGCGGACCTTGGAGGAGCTCCTGGGGCTGGCGCACCTCCGCCGCCTCTCCTGCCTCAGGCTGGCCCATAACCGTATTCTGGCCCTACCGGCTAGTGTTGGTGTGCTGCGTGCTCTGGAGCTCCTGGACCTGGGGTACAACCAGCTCCAGAGCCTTCCCCCGGCCCTCTTCAACCTCCACCACCTACGTCGCCTCCTACTGGCTGGCAACCTGCTGGACAAGCTGCCGGCAGAGGTAGGGGCGCTGACATTTCTTACCGAGCTGGACCTGAGTGGGAACAGGCTGGAGAGCCTGCCTCCAGAGCTTTTCAGTCGCTGTTTGGAGCTGCGGAGCCTGAATGTATCCCACAACTCCCTGGGTTCCCTGCCTCCAGGGCTGAGCAACCTGAGCCAGCTGTCCAGGCTGGACCTGCGCAGCAACAGTCTGGAGGAGCTGCCCATGGAGCTGGGCTTCTGTTCAGGACTGCACGGAGAAGGTCTGCTGGTGGAAGACTGGCTGCTCCATGCACTGCCACGCCATTTGAAGGAGTTCCTAACCCAGCCTGGCTCTCCTACTGGCAAATCCTTAGAATCACACTCCCGTCCAGACTCAGATAGCTTCCCCTACTTCTCGGCTACCCAGTGGAGCTTCTCCTCCGCTCTGGAATCACGGATATAGAACTGGAGATGAATATTGTCTAACCAGTCATTGAATACATTCAACATCTTGTAGTGTTTGTATTGTTTCGGACAATTCATATATATTTTTACTGCTTATTTCTGACCACTTCTTTTCTTTTTTACCACCTCTTTTTCTTCTTGACCATTCTTTTCTATGTTTATCACTTGTTGAGATTGTGGGGTACATCACTGCAGTGCTGACATCCACAATCTTCCTAGACAAAAAGTGATTTTACATGACAGTTCATAGACTTTGCTGCAGTGAAATGTTCGATGCCTTATGTCCCTGTACTGTTTATATAACATTAATATATATAACCCTATGGAAAAACTGAGAAGTCTTTGCTTCCACTATGAGAGTCCTCTATTCATTCACTCTCAAGGCAAAAACAGGCTTTTGGAGGAGGCTGCATAAGACTGGATGAATGCATGTGCTACTGCACTGGATTAGACATTGACATGGAACAATCTTTATTATCCCCATGGCGGAGCTCAGAGATCCCTCCACAGGCTTACTGAAACTTGTTTGTCTGAGGAGGACAATACCCTGAGCTCCAATGAGCTTATGAAGTTCAAAGGCCTAAACTGCACATGTGGAAACAGACTGAAATTGGACAGACTGAAAGGATTTAAACGACCAATAAGATTAACATTAAAATTTATTCGTACTTGTTTTGCACATATTTAATCTTCAAAAATCTAAAATTAATCTTACTAGCATTGGGTGCAGCTTTTTGTGAAACTAATACTGATGTGAAACTAATACAATAGTATGCTTGTTCAGAGAATTAGCACTTTATTGTGACTACCGAAATGATTAAAACTTTAAATTAAATTTAAGTTAAATACTAATTACAGTACATGCCCTTATTGGTGCTGATTGGGACTATGTTATCATTAGACCTACAATGTAATACAAAACACATTCCAATTAATAATTGCAAAAACATTTGCCCCTTGAGGACAAATAAAGTTTATTGAATAAATGAAGTGTGTGTGTGTGTGTGTTCTACTGTACACAAGACCATGGTCAATCTTAGTGACTTAATTAATTTAATACACTAGGAAAGTCCCGCCTACTTCCTGGATCATCTCACATACTGTTTTTGAATGAGATTCAACATTATATCATAAAATTCATAAAAACGCGATCATTTAAGATATGTAAAATTATATTCGTATTCGTGGATTAATTTACTTCTTCCCAATATGTTTTATAAGGTATTCGATTACAAAATAGAAAACGCAATCGAAAATGTTCATGAAAGACATCAGGTAGAAGTATCATTGCTATGTGGATGACACTCAACTACTTTTCTCCTTCCCCCTTCTGACACCCAGGTGGCGATCCACATCTCTGCGTGCCTGGCAGATATCTCAATTTGGATGTCGGCCCACCACCTCAAGCTAAACCTCGACAAGACGGAACTGCTCTTCCTCCCGGGGAAGGCCTGCCCGCTCAAAGACCTCTCCATCACGGTTGACAACTCCACAGCGTCGCCCTCCCAGAGCGCAAAGAACCTTGGCGTACCGCTGGACAACACCCTGTCGTTCTCTGCAAACATCAAAGCAGTGACCCGCTCCTGCGGGTTCATGCTCTACAACATCCGTAGAGTACGACCCTACCTCACACAGGAAGTGGGGCAGGTCCTAATCCAGGCACTTGTCCTCTCAGGTCTGGACTACTGCAACTCGCTGTTGGCTGGGCTCCCCGCTTGTGCCATCAAACCCCTGCAACAGCCCGCCTGGTTTTCAACCTTCCCAAGTTCTCTGATGTCACCCCGCTCCTCCGCACACTCCACTGGCTTCCAGTCGAAGCTCGCATCCACTAAAAGACCATGGTGCTTACCTACGGAACAGCAAGAGGAACTGCCCCTCCCTACCTTCAGGCTATGCTCAAACAACAACAGTGTTGGTCCCATGTTTCATGAACTGAAATACAAGATCCCAGAAATTTACCATACTCATTTCTCTCAAATGTTGTGCACAAATTTGTTTACATCCCTGTTAGTGACCATTTCTCCTTTGCCAAGATAATCCATCCACCTGACAGGCCATATCAAGAATCTGATTAAACAGCATGATCATTACACAGGTGCACCTTGTGCTGGGGACAATAAAAAACCACTCACACAACACAATGCCACAGATGTCTCAAGTTTTGAGGGAGTGCCGCAATTGGCATGCCGACTGCAGGAATGTCCACAAGAGCTGTTGCCAGAGAATGTAATGTTAATAAGCCGCCTCCAACTTCGTTTTAGAGAATTTGGCAGTACGTCCAACCGACCTCACAACTGCAGACCACGTGTATGGCGTCGTCTGAGTGAGCCGTTTGCTGACATCAACGTTGTGAAAAGAGTTCCCCATGGTGGCGGTGGAGTTATGGTATAGGCAGGCATAAACTACAGACAACGAACACAATTGCATTTTATCGATGGCAATTTGAATGCACAAAAATACCAGGATGAGATGCTGAGGCCCATTGTGAGGCCTATTTTCATTAGGGTATCTGTGTTGTTATGTGTTAATAACATGAAGACTACGTTACCCAGCAGGCTATGCGAGAGGGGGGGGGGGGGGAGTTGAAGTATGCCTTGCATGGCTACACAAGGAGATTGCTAGCTGAAGTATCAGTTTATTATAAGTAGTTCAACCTACTCCCCGGGTTTGTCATTATTCAAAGGAACAAACATAACATGGTGTCAGATTGGTAGTCGCTATGACGAGACAGAGAAAAGAAAGGAGTAACTCTGCAAATTTCCGCGACGAAAATTAAACATTCTACCACAAGTCAAGTGACGTGAGTAGTCGAAAATGCTAGCTTGCAAGAGCAATGCCAACGATCCGCAGCAGCGAGTGTGACAGCAGCGAGAGCGAGGCTGCACTGGAATCTGTTGATGAGCAACCTACCGAAGTAAGAGAAATTGAAACTGTACCTGTTTCCCGTCATGGATAGGCTTAGTCCTCCTACTCCTATGCAGTTAACAGCCAATCTAGCTGACAATTGGAAACGTTTCAAGCAGAGATTCAATATCTACCTAGCAGCCAGTGGAGCAGGGGGAGATGATGACAAATTGAAAGCTTCCATTTTTCTGCATGTTATTGGAGAGGATGCATTGGACATTTACAATAGCTTTCAGCTAGACTAGGCAAACTTGACATCTGCGCATGGCTAAATTTGAAGAGTACTTTGTACCAAGCCAGAACGTCACGTTTGAGAGATACAAGTTTTTCTCTCATGATCAGAAACAGGGAGTCAGTTTTGACCAGTACTTGGCTGAGCTGAACACACTGAGCAAAACGTGTGAATTTGAAAACCTGAAAGACTCACTAGTGAAAGACAGGATAGTCTGTGGCATACTTGATAATGGACTCAAGGAGAGATTGCTGCGTGAGCAAGATTTAACTTTGGATAAAGCAGTGAATGTGTCGAGCAGATGAAACCACCAGAACACAAGCTAAAGAGCTGAGCAGGATGAGATGTCAGTGCAATAAAAAGAGAGGAGCAACACAAGGCTTTACAAAACAAAAACAAGCAAAAGATCAAAACACTACAATGTGGAAAATGTGGATTTATCCACAAGCCAAAAAATTGCCCTGCATATGGCAAATCGTGTAACAACTGTGGAAAAAATAAGCATTTCTCAAAATGCTGCAAAGCTGAGGCTACAAAGAAAAAGGTTCACACAGTCAAAGAGGAGACTGAATAATTTTTTGTTGATTCTGTGGAAATATGCAATGCAGTAAAAGCTGAATGGATTGTGCCATTGACTGTGAATGAAACTAGAATACCATTCAAGCTCGATACTGGAGCTCAGGTAAACCGGTTGTTGCTGGATGACTACAAAACACTGAAAGTGAAGAGAAAAATACACCCTGTGAAAATCAAGTTACTGGTTATACTGGGGAGAACGTACCGGTTAAAGGAAGCTGCATAGTAACTTTACAGCACAAAGGAAAACAGTTCAAAGCACAGCTGCTGATCGTGGAAAATAGTGTACAGCCTATTCTCGGAATCAGTGCATGTGAAAAGCTCAATTTGGTGAAAAGAGTGTATGAAGTGACATCACAGACTGAAAATGACCAAGAATTGCTACTGGCTGAGTACGAGGATGTGTTTGAGGGTCTCGGATGTTTACCTGGAGAACACAAAATATGTACTGATGACAAAATTACTCCAGTTGTGCATGCGTGCAGATTGGGTAAGCTCACTGGTTATTGTGGTGAAAAAGAACGGCGATCTCAGGATATGTCTAGACCCGAGAGATCTCAACAAAGCTATCAAGCGAGAGCATTTCAAGTTGCCAACCAGAAAATAGATAATGTCGCAGTTTGCTGGAGCAAAGTGGTTCAGTAAGCTTGATGCTTCATCAGGATTCTGGCAAATTAAGCTAGATGATGCAAGCTCAAGGCTTTGCACATCCAACACACCTGAGGGCAGGTACAGATTTCTTTGTCTACCATATGGGATTCTCTCAGCGCCAGAGGTCTACCACAAGACAATTCACATGATCTTCGAGCACATTCCAGGAGTAGAGACCATGATGGACGACATTATCATCTGGGGCTCCACAAAAGAAGAACACGACGCGCGAGTGAGACAAGTGCTGGACCTGACACGGAAAGTCAACCTGAAACTAAACAAGGACAAATGCGAGTTTGATGTGAAAACACTTACCTTCATGGGAGACGTACTTTCAGAGGATGGAGTCAAACCAGACCCGAGGAAAACATCAGCCATCAACAACATGGAGCGCCCGAAGGACAAGGACGACGTGAGACGCTTCATGGGCATGATCACCTACCTTGCAAATTTCATACCTCAACTGTCAGCACAGTCTGCTCCACTCAGATGTCTTCTGGAACAGAAAAACGAATGTGAATGGTCCCATGAGCAGGAAAACTGCTTCAAAAACCTAAAGAAGGCAATCACGGAAGAGACAGTGCACAGGTTCTATGATCCAGAGAAAAGCACAAGGATTTCTGCAGATGCATCACAGTTTGGCCTGGGAGCAGTTCTTCTGCAACAGAATGACGACACATGGCAACCTGTCGCTTATGCGTCCAGAGCCTTGACAGGCGCAGAAACAAGGTATGCACAAATAGAGAAAGAACTACTGGCGAGCACATACGCGTGCGAAAGGTTTCACCAATACGTCTACTGACAAACCTTCCAAGTATAAACTGACCACAAACCACTGGTGTCAATCATGTCTAAGCCACTTAATGATTGTCCAATGAGAATCCAGAGAATGTTGATCAGACTGTAAAAGTATGACGTGAAGATGATCTACACCTCGGGAAAGTTCATGTTCGCCGCCGACACTCGAGCAGTCGACAAGAAAGAGAGCGCCGACACACAGAAAAACACTGAGATTCAGGCCTACGTCGACATGATTGTAGCATCACTTCCTGTGTCTTCTGATAGAATGGCGCAGATCAAAAGAGACAGCAGCTGACCAAACAATGACAGAGTTGAAAGAAACAATACTGATAGGATGGCCTGCACAGAAAAACAACTGTCCAAGGAGAATACAGGATTACTGGATGTGCAGAGTAGAGCTCACTGTTGTGGATGACATAGTGTTCAAAGGCAACAAGATTGTCATTTCCATGACACTACGCAAAGAAATGCTACAGAAAATACACGAGGGCCACTTGGGTGAGGAAAAATGCAAACGACGAGCACGAGAAGTAATGTACTGGCCAAGAATGAACCAGGAAATCAGCCAGACCACTGCTTCATGTGAACTGTGTTTGACCTACAGGCCAAAGCAGCAAGCAGAACCGCTAATGCCTCCTCCAGTACCCAATCGACCCTACTACAAAGTTGGAGTTGACCTTTTTGACTGCAATGGCAAAAGTCACATTGTTGTTACCGACTACCCCTCAAACTACCCTGAAGTAGCAACACTGCCAACTACCTCCAGCAAAGCTGTAATCACCTACCTGAAATCAGTCTTCGCAAGACATGGGTTTGCGTCTGAACTGTACTCGGACAATGGCCCGCAGTTCAAGTTCTGAATTCCGATCGTTCGCTAATGACTGGGGATTCCAACACAACATCTCCAGCCCCAACTACCCAAAGTCCAATGGCTTAGCAGAAAGTTCAGTCAAAATAGTCAAAGGTCTGATGAAAAAGGCACATGATGGAAAGGAGGACTTCCTAAAAAGTCTGATGATCTACTGCAGCGCACCGCTGCAGAGCGGACTTTCACCTGCACAAATGTTGATTGGACGTCGCATCAGATCCAACCTACCCATCCATGAGGACTTGCTAACACCCAGAGGTGCTCACAACATCAAACTCGCAAAGGAAAAACAGAAAGACAAACAAAAACAGCGACACAACAATAGTGCAAGACACTTACCTGAACTGAAACCTGGAGATCATGTACGACTCAGAGACATCACTACAGGAACCTGGATGCAGCAAGGGTGCGTGCAGAGAGAAGTTGCACCGCGATCCTATGAGATCCAAACGGAGCATGGATCACAACTGAGACGAAACAGAGTGGATCTAAGGCTTCAGCCATTCACTCAAGGGACTGAGGATCATCAGGAGGATACTGCTGAAGTGTCAAATGCCTTTACCAATGGACAATTCAGTCAGAACACCCTGACTGACAATGAACGCTGTCCAACTGCTTCAGGAAGCATTTCAGCAGAACGACCAAAAAGGACTGTCAGAGCCTCTGAAAGGCTTATTGAGAATTGCTACAAAAATATATATATGAAAAAAAAAGGGGCACCTGGATTGGATGTTTTTGTTTATGTGAAAAGAAATAGAGCCACAATAGAGTATTGTTGGACAGAGACTGCATTTAGTTGAGAAAAAAAAGGGAAAGAAATGTGTGTTATTGAAAATGCCATGTTATGCAGATTGAGTAAACAAATGTGATGTGACATGTTTAGTTACAGAGAAAAAGTAGTTTTCTTTCAAAGGAAGGAAGATTTTTATTGATGGCAATTTGAATGCAAAAACATACCAGGATGAGATGCTGAGGCCTATTTTCTTTAGGGTATCTGTGTTGTTATGTGTTAATAACATGAAGACTACGTTACTCAGCAGGCTATGCAAGGGGGGGAAGTTGAAGTATGCCTTGCATGGCTACACAAGGAGATTGCTAGCTAAAGTATCAGTTTATTAAAAGTAGTTCAACCTACGCCCCGGTTTGTCATTATTCAAAGGAACAAACATAACATGGTGTCAGATTGGTAGTCGCTATGACGAGACAGAGAAAAGAAAGGAGTAACTCTGCAAATTTCCGCCACGAAAATTAAACATGCATATCTGTATTCCCAGTCATGTGAAATCCATAGATTAGGGCCTAATGATTTTATTTCAATTGACTGATTTCCTTATATGAACTGTAACTCAGTCAAATCAATGAAATTGTTGCATATTGCGTTTATTTTTGTTCAGTATAATATAATTGTACATAGCTATATGACTGCATGTTCATAAATGTGATGCTATTATCTTGAATCTCATTGAAAAACATTATGGGACACATGCCACGTTCATGTGCTAGTCGGAACTAGGAAACTCAGAAATGTCAGACTTGCTAACTGGTTGAACACGGCACGTGTATAACTACAAACAGCAAGTCTAAAATTTCTGAGTTTCGACTACCACGTTAACTGTGTTTTGTGTAGGCTTACCCTGGCGTGGCGTTTTGATAACCATGCAAATCTCTCTAGGACAAGGTGATTTATCTATATATGCGCCTGTATTCCCCCCCAATTTTTTTTGGTTTAAATGCTAATTAGCTGTTAATGTGGCTATCATAAAGAACTACAAATGCCATGATGATCTGGATGAGAAGCTCTGGATTAACTATCTAATTTTAGCTAAATGTAGTAATGAATAATTTGGCTACATTTCTTTAAATGGACAATTATGTGAACTGTCTAGTGCAAGTTTTAATACCTGTTAGCAAAGGTGTCAGCTAGAGATGACGTGCAGGAGCTTGCAGAGATTTGTAGTTTTGCATGTCTACTTTGATGTTAATTAGCATTTTTGAATCTGAGAGTAAATAGAGCCAAATATATTGATAAATGTCACCTTGTCGGAGAGAGATTTACATGGTTATCAAAAAATCACGCCAGGGTAAGCCTACACGAAACATAGCCCTTATTTGAAGTGTTTCTAAAATCCCCTATAGGAAAAATGAATGGAGGAAAAACTATTGGAACCATTTCCCTGTTTGACCCTTAGGTTTTATGGGTATTATGACACTTCCACTGTGGGGCTCTATAGCAGGTGTAGAAAGACAGAGAACTTCCCACTTCTGCTTACCAGGGGAAACTGTAGTTAGGTTGAAAATACTGAGCGTGTTTGAGTGGTAAGCTGAAAGTAGAGCACTGTAGATGGAAGTTGACCAGTAAAGTCGGGGGAGATGCATACAGTACGCACTGCTGTCTGACAACTTCTGCTGTTTCTAGGAAACACGACAATAACCACATTTCCATCCAACCATTTCATGCAGATGAATGCATGCATGAAAAAAGTAACGACCGGGGTGATGGAAACATGAAATGCCGGTACAATTTTATAAATGCTGACAGACAATTTGTTCATTCGACATGGTGTGATCTTTTTGCGTCAGTAAAATCCATTGTGAGAAATGGTGGTGGAAATGCCTTTATGCTCAAATATTGATATAATAACCATCATATTGAAGTAAACTTGGAGTCAAGAAAAGCTATGTTATATATAACACAACCGTTTTTTGTGACAAAGCTATCAGTAGAGTTGATAATGCGATGGAAACCCATTTAACTTGTATTTTGTATTCGGTACATGGTCAAAGTTATTTTTATGTTCACTACGTCATCACGCACAGCCTTTTATCCGCAAAAAGTCAGCTTGATGGAAACACAGCTCTAAATAGTCATCCACCCAAAACAGTAAACATAATAACCAATGATAGGTGGCGACATCAACCATTTATGAGCATGTAATGCCTTTTCTACTCCTGAGTGGCGCAGTGGTCTAAGGCACTGCATCGCAGTGCTAACTGTGCCACTAGAGATCCTGGTTCGAATCCAGGCTCTGTCGCCGCCGGCCGCGACCGGGAGACTCATGGGCGGCGCACAATTGGCCCAGCGTCGTCCAGGGTAGGGGAGGGAATGGCCGGCAGGGATGTAGCTCAGTTGATAGAGCATGGCGTTTGCAACGCCAGGGTTGTGGGTTCGATTCCCACGGGGGGCCAGTATAAAAAAAATATGTATTCACTAACTGTAAGTCGCTCTGGATAAGAGCGTCTGCTAAAATGTAAATGTAAATGTTTTCCTTACAAAAAACTGAAGGTTGTCTCCCACAATGCTTTGGTTCCGACTTCAAGTTGGTGAGGAGCAACTGCAGAAATGTCCAGCCTACTGCAGTCGAAAGTTCATGCATGTGGTTGTTCTAAAGGTCTTGCAGTCATGTGGCAAGTTGGACAATTTTTATACCCATAATGCAACACACTTTGAAAGGTGTTGACCAATGTTGGTCAACCTCTGGACAAAAGTGATACGCTGGAACGCGCCCACTGTATTGCGCTATCAAGACAACTTGGAACGCGGAAAAAACAGGTCAAATCATGACGTCAGTGATCTTCAGGTCGGAAAGTCGGAGCTCTAGAAAGATGCCAACGTTTCGGACTTGGAATTCCGAGTTGGATGACCGTTCAAAACGATTTTTCCCAGTTGGAGCTCGTTTTTTTCCCAAGTTCCAATTTATCTTGAACGCACTGAAGTCGGAAGTCAGAGATTTCCGAGTTCACAGTTCTCTGTTGTTTTGAACGCGGCATAGTATCCCTGAAAACCAGAAACATCCGCTTTCTTTCAACGCCGCTAAGGGTGGCAGCGCTTAACGTCACTGATGATTGACAGCTTGACTTGGCCAATCGTGATAAGGTTAGGAGTAGTTTTGTCAAAATGACGCGTAAACCAACCAATTATATTTCTGTATTTAGTGGAGGCGGAAGTTCCGGCTAGTCGTATAAACTGAGGCCTCCTCCCCATGTGGTTTGAGTAGCATTTTTCGGAGGTTGAATTGTAATATCACTGTAAGGTAAGACTGTAGATAATGTTGCTTATTTGTGTCATTTTGGAAATATTCCGGTTCTCGTAGTTTTATTAGAAATTATGAACTTCTTTTGATGGTTTGCTGATGAGCAAGATATTGGCAAATTAATTTTAAGCAGCATTAGTTCTGAGAAGGCTAGTTTGCTAGCTAGGGCTAACGTTAGCTAACCAAAACCGGTTCAAGTCGTGCAAAACATTGGAATTAGCCACGTGTGAATGAACAGGTTGTGTAATTTGGACAATAGTCTGTTTCATAGCTCGCTACATCGTTAGTTTTATTAGCTAACGTTAGCTACCAGAACTGCTAGTAATTGAGCTAACTAGGTTGGCTTGAGCTGTGTGCGGTCAAAGAAGGCGGAGGCGATTCATGACATTGTTTGCATTACGGATGTAACGTTACCAGAGATATCTGACTTTAGTCGTTAGTTAGCTACCGAGCTAGCCAATCCCCGACTATTGTTGACGTTGACGGAACCTTTATTGTAGCTTGTTAGGCATTTATTACAAATTGCAAGGAACCATGGCCCCTGGCTTTGTTTGTAATAAATAGTTTATTTTGCTGTCGAACGTGGTTAGTTGGCAGGCTAACTAACTACATAACTGGATAGTCATGGCTTAGCTAGTTTGACACTGTCATCGTCATTATTTATTTAAATGTTATGATTACTTGGTGTTACTGAATGCTACTTGTTGTACCTTTTTTATAGAGGGCTTTGATGTAGACTAACATTACCATAGATTAGCGGATTACTTATTTCCATTGTAAATAGTTAGCTAGTGGCGATGTTAGTCTGTTAACCATCAAATCACCTAAGTGAATACATTTTGTATTACAAAAATATTGTCTCGGAGAGTCTTTAATCAAAGCAAATGGTGACAACCGTTGTGAATGACCAGCCATTATTTCCCCCTCACCCCCCTCTTTAAAAATATCTCTGTAGACAGAATGGCTGAGAATGACGTTGACAATGAGCTGCTGGACTATGAAGAGGATGAGGAGCCTCAGGGAGCCCCAGAGACCGCTGCCCCAGCAGGCAAGAAGGAGGTGAAGGGCTCCTATGTCTCCATCCACAGCTCTGGCTTCAGAGACTTCCTGCTCAAACCAGAGCTGCTCCGTGCCATCGTAGACTGTGGCTTTGAACATCCATCTGAAGGTGAGTGCAATGGGTGGCTGTTTGGTGGATGAGTGCTGGGAGTGGCATAAATGGAAGTCATGAATAGATGAGTGGCATGTCTGTGGATACAATGGAGTGCATGTCTAGGAAGACATAGAAGTATAAATGGTCATTGGGTGTTGATGGACCACTTGTCAATTACAATGCATGTGTTGTCCAAGGTGTGATGGCAAATAATGCCTCTTTATTTGTTCTGATAAAGTTGGTGAAATTGCATTCAGGCATACTGACCAAATGTCTAATTGTTTTCCAGTTCAACATGAATGCATTCCTCAGGCCATCCTGGGCATGGACATCCTGTGCCAGGCCAAGTCTGGTATGGGCAAGACGGCAGTGTTCGTTCTTGCCACACTACAGCAGATCGAGCCCGTGGATGGACAGGTCAGTATATGCACTCTGAAAATGTCTCTGGAATGCCAAGTTTCAAGTATGTGTTATGCATAACCCACAAGTGATCTATTAGCATCAAATCCTCCTCTTTCCTCCAGGTGTCAGTTCTAGTAATGTGCCACACACGAGAGCTGGCCTTCCAGATCAGCAAAGAGTACGAGCGCTTCTCCAAGTACATGCCCACAGTCAAGGCAGCCGTGTTCTTCGGAGGCCTGTCCATCAAGAAGGACGAGGACGTGCTGAAGAAGAACTGCCCTCACATCGTGGTGGGAACCCCTGGCCGAATCCTGGCCCTCATCCGCAACAAGACCCTCAACCTAAAGAACGTCAAGCACTTCGTCCTGGATGAGTGTGACAAGATGCTGGAGCAGTTGGGTGAGTCCTGCTTATTATCCCTCTTCCTATTTGGAGATGCTTTTCATCCAACCTATTTTTGTCATTTACCCCCCCAGAACTGTGAATTCTATCAATCACTATCTTGAATGTAACAGGTTTGAACAAGGGTTTCCCCCATGGAAATCTGTTATCACATCTAGACTGAATAGAATGATGTCCTGGTACTTGGCTGTTCTGGGGGGTAGTTTGAGGCTGGGCCGTTTTATCCCTGGTCCCATTGCTCTCGTGTTTCAGACATGAGGCGTGACGTACAGGACATCTTCAGGCTCACACCCCATGAGAAGCAGTGCATGATGTTCAGTGCCACGCTCAGCAAGGAGATTCGACCTGTCTGCCGCAAGTTCATGCAGGATGTGAGTACAGGGCCAGCAGGGGGTAGCAATGCCACTTAATGAGGTTATGGACTCCAAATGCTGTTTTACAAACAACTATCTTTGCATTGACTTCATAGAAAAGTTGATTTTGTGGTTCTGAAGTGACGTTCTCTGTCTCTTGTAGCCCATGGAGGTGTTTGTAGATGATGAGACCAAGCTGACTCTGCATGGTCTGCAGCAATACTACTGCAAGCTGAAGGACAGCGAGAAGAACCGCAAGCTCTTTGACCTGCTTGATGTGCTGGAGTTCAACCAGGTAAACCCACAGACTAATGGTATCATTTTTATCCCTGTAAAAAATAGTAGTATTTGTGCTGTTTGCTATAGGTTTTAATGTCTCCTGTGTGCCTCTAGGTGGTGATCTTTGTCAAGTCAGTGCAGCGCTGTGTGGCGCTATCTCAGCTACTGGTGGAGCAGAACTTCCCTGCCATTGCCATCCACAGGGGCATGGCTCAGGAGGAGAGGTCTGTCGCTCACACGCACACCTTTCTCTCACACATCTCCAATTAAATGGAGCCCCAAATGCTGACTTTATGGAGCTGAAAGCCTCTTAAATTAACTCAACACATTGTTGCCTTCAAAGGGCAGCCTCTACGTCCAGTAATACCTATAGCAGCTGTGTTAATCCTCTCTGGCTCGCTATCCTCAGGCTGTCCCGCTACCAGCAGTTCAAGGACTTCCAAAGGCGGATCCTGGTGGCCACCAACCTGTTTGGCCGAGGGATGGATATCGAGCGGGTCAATATTGTCTTCAATTACGACATGCCTGAGGACTCAGACACCTACTTACACAGGGTGAGTCACATAACTGAAGGAGCCTCAAACACCTGTCTTCTGGTTATAAATGGTATTTCCAAATACCCATTTCAGTGATTGAAGTATCTATGATTATTTCATCAACTTGTCATTGACCTCTGTAGATCTCAGATATAGGCTCTGAGTTGTCACTCCCATCTGACCCTCTTGCCCCTCAGGTGGCCCGTGCTGGCCGGTTTGGAACCAAGGGTCTGGCCGTGACCTTTGTGTCAGACGAGACAGACGCCAAGACTTTGAATGACGTGCAGGACCGCTTCGAGGTCAATGTGGCCGAGCTGCCAGAAGAGATCGACATCTCCACTTACAGTAAGGCTCTCTCGATCCTTCTACATGCAGCCTCCCATGGAGTCTTTCTCTATTCAAACTGACATCACTTTTTATTCTTACAAGTTGAGTCATATTTAAGTCTTTCTGTCACTGTCTGCTGATACTTGTTTAATTCAATTGAAAAGGGAATTATGTGGAATGTAGTGTAGAGGGGCTATCATAATAAACCTCAATGTGCCCTGTGTTGTGCCTGGGGCATGCCACCTCTGTTAATCATTAGTACTCTAATGTTGGGCCTGAAAGGCCAGGAGGATATTGTCAGCTCATGGTAACCCCCAAGATAATTGCCTGGTATAATAACTCACTGAGTAATGGTGGTGACAAGAGACCATTGGATTGCCATGTAGGGCTGTCCTCCACACAAATATTTGCTGCCTGAAAGTCATCTGTTCTTTCGACCAATCAGTTGGTCAACATATTCTTTTTTTAAAGTGTATTTTTCCATAGATACACCTTATGTGTTTTAATAAAATCAACTATGCACTGCGCTTGGGTGATGCTTTAAGCCAGGGGTGTCAAACTCATTCCCTGGAGGGCCTAGTGTCTGCTGGGTTTTGGTTTCTCTTTTCAATTAAGACCTACACAACCAGGTGAGGAGAGTTCCTTACTAAACAGTGACGTTAACTCATCAATCAAGTCCAAGGGAGGAGTGAAAGCCCTTAGACACTCTGACCTCCAGGTAGCCTAGGAATGAGTTTGACACGTGCTTTAAGTGCACAATTTGATGAAATAAACAAATTATTCGGGAGCCAGAGATCAAGAACCTCCACCACATCATCATCCTCCTGCTGGCCTTCACAGATTCTGCCGTTATGCTCCTGAAGTTGCCGATAATAGGCTACACCAGGGGTCGGCAACCTTTTTTCATGTGGAATGCCAATTTAATCAATTTCTACCGATTTGGGTGCCAGTTATGGCTTTCATTTGTGCATTTTTGTGGAACCGTGGTAATAAATTATATGAAAATATTATATATCTAATAGTAACTTCTATTGCAGCCTGCAGATAGAAAATATCATGATTTAAAAATAAATATCCTATAAATCACATTGGCTACGCATAGCCTGTCTGCAACAAACTCAAAACATTATCAACTGGGTCCAGCCCGACGCTAGCAAACATGCAACATTGTATAAAATATTCTTGCTTCTGTTTCCTGCACCAGTGAGCTCCAAACAGACACGGCTGTAGGCTATTTGCGCAAGGGATAAGAAGTAATCGGGACGGCCTATTTTATGACGTTTCCGCTGGATCAGAGCATTACATTTTTCCCTTTCACTCAATGGTTATCAAAAGGGAGAGTGCTGGAAAGATTTTTCAAATACATTGAGGAACTATTGTCAATCTCAATGTATGTAAACAGACTTTGTTTACTTGCTGTTTGAGGTGATGAAAAGGTTACTTTGAAGCTCTACACCTCATTAGTGGTGGTGAGTTAAGCCAATCAGAAATACTATCATATCCCCAAATGGGCACATTTTATAGGCCTACATTTGCGCATAGGCCAGGTAGCCTAGGCCTACTTCTATACGTAGTCAGGTGAGCGTCCTTACTCAACATTGACAGGAGCGCTTTAAACAAAAGACAATTACTAAATTGACAACTAGTAAATGGAATTAAATGTATCTAAAGTTGTTTCAAGTGTAGCATTGGTTGTGCACTCTGACGAACGGTAAGACTGCAATAATATTGAATGCATTAACAGAAATTACGTTAAACAACCATTGTAGATTAGAAATTATGGGACTCCATGGTAAATGTACTACTGGTGAATTGATAGACACTAACAAAGGGCAAACAATTGACAGTGACGTTATGGAACAATTAATTGGCGGGAGAGCGCGTTCTGCATCTTAGCCACGACTCAAAGGTTTCTCGTGCCATAAAGAGAAACTGGTACGTATGACTGCTCAACCAAAAAAATATTGGATGACCGACCAGTCGACTAAATGGGATCAGCCCTAAACTGGGTAGGTCTTAGCGAATGGAGACGACTTACATATTTAACCCTGCAGTGACAAGCTGGAATGCCCAGCTGTAGCTTATGGAGATGGTCTTCAGAAGTCTCTTCTCTCCTTCCTCACTCACCACTTTTTCTTTCTCTTTCTCTAGTTGAGCAGTCCAGATGAGTCCTCCATCCCAGAAGAAATGTCCCCTACCCCTGAATCGGTGTCCTTGTTTGGATGAAAAAACCCTCCTTGCTGTTTTATTTTAAAGCTCTGTTCCTTGACTATGTTCACCAAATGTTTTTTATTTTAATGTATCTCATTGGGGGTTGTCCAGTTTTTTTTATTGTCTTATTGTGGTTTGCTTTTGGTCAATGAAATTAAAACTTTTTATAAAACTCCAGTTTATGGTCTCATTTTAACTGATTACTTACAATGACGTGCACATTATGCAATTCTTCGAATGACTTTAAAAAAGAAAGTTAAATGGACCATCAACCCCCCCCCCCCCCTGCATGCAAGCTTACAAAACGTTGGGCCAAATCTAAAACGCAACCTCAGGAAAGTGTATAAAGAGCTTTTTGGAAATTAGTCCCAAGCAAAATGATTGAACTGGCCATGTGGTGGTTGTACGTTGGCTCACTGTCAAAGCTGGGAAATCTAGGCACAACTTCATTCTCTGTAAGGGCTCGTAAAAGGAGGGACTATCCCGGCTTATTAGAAAGCCCCATAGTGTCTGCTGATGCATGACTGACACCAGTGATCATGGCTCTAATGTGAGCGGGGCATCTGCGGCATCTTTCCATTGGGTAATTGCCTAATGGAAAAAGTATTTATACAGGAATCAAAAGGTTGCAAGCATCTGCTATCAAAGAAAACAATCCATTCATGCTAATTGGCCACAGCTTGGTGTAGTGTTTGAACCATACTTTCCCTGCTATCTTTAGTGAAAAAGGGTTGTGACTAAAGGGAGTATAGCCCTTAACCATGACCCGGTTTCATTACAGAAGTCATTGGACGAAGGTGTCTTCTGTAAGCAGGAGTTTTGTTAAGAGCCCTGACACTCAGTCTGACCATTAACACGCATCGCTTGTGGTATGGTTTTGAGTGAAACAAATACTTTATTACAAATGCAGCATGAACTCAATTAGCCTGTAAATCAAAGTTAGGACAAAACAACCAGATGTTTGCCTTTTTACAAGTTTTCATCAATCACTTGTTCAATAAAGCGCAGAGAGATTTCCAAATGGCAGTGTGCTGTGCTCACATCACAGAACCCAGACTTGCTCAGTGCTAGCTATACATGGACTGGTTAATTGGTTATAACTCAAATGGATTGGCTTGTATACAGCAGAAACTCTACAAACAAAAGGATGCATCTGTACATAGCTGCTCTATAGTGTCCAGTTATAAAACCAAATACTTTTCTCAAACCACAATCTACATGGGCAACAGTGATGGCAGTGTCTAACCAATCAGATGATAACGTCACTTTTTTTTTTCTTTTTACAAAGTAAATCACCCTAACAGGCTGTGTGAGGCAACTATCAAAGCCTGTCCCAACCTAGAAGTTGTACAAAGTTTAATCATAGAAAAATACAAATCAACACTTAAACAAATACAAATAAAACAAGGCAGGTTAAAAAATCTCATGGACTACAATGTAATATGGGCTTCAGTACTTGAATCCTCTAATACTTTTCATGGAGTCAGAGGGAAAAGCATGTGAATTACACGTATTTTAGTCTGAGATATACCACTCCGATTCAGTAATGAACAAAGGTGCTAAGGTGCATGAATTATTAACCTGTCCTAATAGGGAAGAATTTGGCATTTTTGTAATTCTAAAGAGGTCCATGTCTCACCAATACAGAATCTTAACCTCCATCTTCAGACAACTGTTATGCTTATCTTTTCGAGGTGCTATAACAGACTACTGACGCATGTCCTTGCAAAGGAGGCCATTTGTAACTCCTGTGGTACTAACCCCTGACCCCTTTGTAGTGTCCTCATGTCTGCTTCAGTCTCTAATGAGCATGATGTAATCGTTGACATGTCAACCTTCAATGGCAGAGGGCAGAATTAGACTCCACATAAACATAAAGCAACATGAGTAAGAGTATTGTGAATTAGTTGCTAGATTTTTTAAATAACAAACCAGAGGGTGGCTGAGGCTCTTTCTACCCCTCAGTCAGGATTGTAATTTGCTTCAAATTAGCGACATTACTTCTCGATGCCAGAATCCGAGGCTTGTTCCGCTGGCGCTAGGTTAAATGTCTCACTGTTTCAGGGCTGAGGCATAGAGGAGTAAGAAATGGAGACTGGTCCAACTGTGTAAATGACCTTTGACCTATCACGCACACATAAAGTCTCTCTAACCATAACATCTCTCCTTGGGGAGTTGTCTTCGTCCACTATTGCTCAGGTAATGTGGCTGTTTGATTACAGTGAACACTTGTGTGACCAGGGGTCAGTTCCCAGACCCTGGAACTTCCCTCTCTGCTGACAGCTCTCAGCTGTTTTGTCTCTCTCAGGGCCCTCCCTCTCCAAACATAGCAGCATCGCTTCTCTCATTGGCAACCACTGTGTCATCGTCTCTGTCACAACAATAAATACCTTGGAATAAATATCATTACAAATACAAATGTCCCTTCCAGAGCATTCTGTGGAGGCTCCATATTTTGTCCCATCAAAACGTTGTCTTTTAGTGTTTTCATTTGGTTACGCAAATAGCAGGTATTGGAAATCTACTGGAGAAGTCATTCCGTTTTTTTGCGAGTCTGATTCTCCTTCCTCTCAAACCAAACCTGCTTGCCATTGACAGGCCTACTCTATGCTGGCAGTCACCATGAAATGTAACACCTTACCATCCCACGTCCACAAGTCTACTGGGTGTGTGCATCAGTTGGGTTGGAGTCTGCATTGGGTTAGTCCCACCTTTCTCTATCGTCCCCACAGTGCAGGGTTCAGTCCCAGAGTACAGGAGTGCATGGTGAGTGACAAAATGGTGGCCGGTCAAATCCATGTTTGTCTATTTACACACTTTGGTGATTCCGGTTGGTGAACCACAATGGACCAGGTGTCTACTCTAAGGCCGGCACTAGTCACTCATCTCTGTCCAGAGTGCAGATCAACGTATCAGTTTCCTTCACCCAGGTCTCCCAAAACATGCTCCAGGAGGGTGGTGGGGGATTTGTGCATCTGGCTAGCGTCTACTCAAAGATACACTTAGGACTGCTACTCTATCAGGGACTTGGTTTGGGGGGTAAAGTGATGGGGAGCGAGTGAGGGATTTGAGGGGGACGCTAGTCGGTGAACTTGTGTGTGTCTCCGTAGAGCCACTGCTGGGGCGGGAGGGCAGCCTCGTTCAGATGACTGCACTTATCACTGCACTTGCAGGACTGCACGAACATGACGGAGCGGTCGAAAGCGCTCGCCATCAGGGCAGGCGAAGGTCACGGAGGCGGTGCGTGTGCGGCGGGGCGAGCAGCAGCGGCCGTCCACACACACGCCGCAGTAGTTGGGCCGGTAGAGACGCGTGCTGCGGCAGCCAGCATAGGACAGACGTAGGGGCTCTGGGGCCTTGTGGGTACGGGAGCACTTCCTCCCTTTCTGTGGAGAGTAGAAGAGAAAGACAGTGTGGGTTAGAACTGTACAATCCCAGTGAACCACAACTGCAGTTATTATGCTGGCAAAGGGAGAGAAACTTGACGAAAGGTCAAAACAACAAGACTAGGGCTAGAGAAGGGCACGGTGATGGTATGGGTGGGTGGGCATCCAACACCAACAGTTATGAGGTGGCATAGTGTCACATTAACGCCCCAACAACTCTCAAAAGACAGGAAGAACATACTAAGACAGGTGCCTGACAACCAGACTCATCAGTGAATCACTGCTCTGGTGAGATGTAGAGGGGGAGAGCGTTTTCAAGGGTGTTACATGAAAGGAAAGAAAGTGAGGGAGTGGGAGAATAGAGAGTGCTTTGCGTCATACACACAAGGGCCTATTAACACCTCACGGAGACTTGGGCAGAGTGGGAGAGGTTGGTAGCATGGTGGATGTGGCTACATGTTAGCTCCCACAGAACTACTACAGTCTCTACTTTCCACTGTCACCTGACACAACTATTTGGCCTTGTACTGTTGGTCTTTAGGTCTTCTAATGATGCCTTTTCCATTCACAGTTCAGTTAAACTTGTTCCTCAGCAACAGTAAAGTGAATAGAGTGGGCTCAGATCCACACTGGGTGAGCTTGCCAGAGGGAGGGGCACTTAATACCATGATGTTAATATCGATGTGACCTCTCGTGGGCGCACCCCTGTCCACACAGTCTCTTAAGGTTTAGACTGGGATGCAGGCATAGACCTAAATACATGTATCTACAATGTATGAAGGCAGGGGGACTATAAAATGGTTGCCACACCAAAATGGTGACCACTGCCATCCCTTCCTTAAAGGCGGGCTGAACTTCCTGAATTAGCCTCGGTTTCAATTCTCCTCATTAGGAAATGCGACTGAGAACAAGATTTTGGTCATGGAGGCATGCTTTGATGTGGGTGCCTCTTTGTGTGTGTAAGAATATGGGAAGCATTTGTACTTTCACTCTGCCAAAACAGTACACAGTCACTCACTCTTCTAGATGAAGGGTTCCCAACCTTTTTTTCACGTAAAAAAAAAAAGTCAGGCCCCCCCTTGTTTAATGATATAGCCTATATTAAATACACAACCAGCTTGATTTGGTTTAATGTGAGAGATTTAGGAAAATGCTGTTATTTGAAGCTCATTTCCTGTAATTCTATGTAGTTTAACAAGACTCTTGACATCTTTTGATGATAATAATAGATAAGGAAAATAAGTTCTAGACCCCATTTCCCCAAATGTTATTCCGCTACCAAATGGGTTTTATGATATTTATATGAACTCTCAATTTAATTATACATATTCTCTTTTACACAAAGTGAATAGATCAATTGATAGCGACAGTCACACATTGTATAAGATTACTTTTCAAGCAAAGTCCAATTTCTTTGACTCCTCGACTTTAGAAGGTCGTAGCTCCGCTTCTGAATGTCATAGAGCCAAACCAAATATATTTCCATGTGTATCATTCGAGTGTTCCTCTGGCATTTTACTACTTGTTTCTAGCCTAAAGCATCGCAGATGTATGCGTCATCTCAAATCAAGGAATGTCCCACGCCCCTCCACGAAACGTTGGCGCCCCCTTTTGGGGGCCGTGACCCATAGGTTTGGGAACCCCTGTTCTAGATAAGGTGAAACAGTCTAACCAGGTCTTGTCTGAAAGTAGCCTAGACTAGCTAGCAGGCTAGCCAACTTCTTTTGCCGATTAGCTTCAGCCGGCCAGTGTGCGACCGTGGCAAAGTTGGTTTGACTTTGGATAGCCTATCTGTGTAGCTAGTTAGGGACAGTCAATAAATTACACAATGTAAATGGGACAATATTTTCATGTTACATATCTGTCAGTTGTCTCATTAAATGCTTTCAATATTTGTATATGAATTTCTACAGCTTATAATGAAGTCAAATTTGGAGCGGTTGACATTTTTTAATATTGTCCCATGTACATTGTGTGATTTATTGATGGTCCTTAGCTAGCCCCATAGTGATATTGAATGTTAAACTAAATTTACCATGGGCATTACGATCGGGGATGCGTGCAGCTGGGTTCCGAATTGATGATTACTTGGGTGCTGTGGGCATGTGGGCAGGCTTGAAATAAACCCAACCCCAAAAAAGATGTTACGGTACCCTTCATTCCTTGACATACCATTTTTTCCTAATTATCTCGTAAATCTCCATTTGGGAGGAGACTGACTTTATGACCCAAATGATCCTATTTAGACTTTGTAGTCAATTTTGACCCTAGAGTACATGTTTCTGACTCATATAGGCCGATTACTACAAGAGAAGTTGTTTATTACCTTCATTTGCTCTTTACGGTTTCTAGACCCTTCACACACACACTTTACCTTGACAGGGATGGACATGGAGCTGCAGGGCCGGATGTTGCACAGACGCGTCTCCTTCACTAGCTTACACTGGGCGTTGTCATTGGTGACACGAGAGGACACGGCCATCCCACAGCTGCGTGAGCACTGGGACCAACTTGTGGTCTGGACCACACACTGCCCTCCAAACTGCCTCCACGCTGGACAGAAGGAGAGGAAGAGAAGGATAGAGTGGGGGAGAGAGGACCAGGGAGAGGCAGAGAGAGATGTATGCACACTGGCCTCATTCACAGAACAGGCAACACTGACGCATAGAGAGGGTGATTACAGAGAAGGAAAAGCTGGACGACAGAGGTATTTGCTGTGTGAGAGTGGTGTGTGTGTGCCTCTGGTGCGCAAGTAGTCAGTGGAAACCATGGCGCACTCAAACACTGACACACACACAGATGCAGGGGAAAGGGGTGCACAGTGGGTCTGTTTGAGTCGGGGGCTAAAAGGCTAAAACACAAACATGGCATTTTACTGTGGGGAGGAAACAGACGGCGCTCTGAGGCGACATCACGGCGCCCTCTCTTACCCGCCAGGTGCTTGTTCCCGCGCAGCTTGTCCCACTTCTTCTCTACCTCCACCAGCTCGTTTCCCATGGTATCCTTGGGTTTGTAGTGGTATGGCTTGGGGTATGGTTTGTAGGGGTAGGCAGGGTAGGGCATGAAGGGGAAAGGGGGAGAAGCTGGAGGCAGTGGGCGCCGGTGTACTGGGGGTACAACGGATGAGCCCTTGTGGCAGTCGATACTGAGGCAGCACTGCCCAGGCACCTTGACCAGGCGCGGGGCAGGGCAGGAGGGCGATGCCAGGGGCACGTGGCTGGGGCACAGGGGCACGCAGCCCACTGCCCCGTCGATACACGTACACTGGTGTTTGCAGCCAGCCCGGAAATTCTCCCCATTCTGGTAGATCCGGCCATTGTATTCGCAGGAGCGACCCTCGAGCTGCGCTGTTAGGGGAGACAGATAAAAAAGGATAGACTTAATGATGTCTGTATGTAGAGGGCTCTGAGGTATCACTAGCTAATGGCCATGCCTTTGGTTGTATTGCTTAAAACACAATGAGTTCAGGTTGAGTGAGGTAATAAACAAAGTGGAGGAGAGGGACAACAATAGAGACAAAGGAATAGAGAGAGAGAATGGGAACATCAACAAGAAAGGCCCAGAACTAATTGTGTATGAGAAGTAGGAAGTGAAATGACAGAAGAGGGGGTAGAGAGAGAAAGAGAGTGAGAGGGGAGCGAGACACTCTATTCACAGTTTTATGAAGGAGCCTCTATTCTTAGTCCAGGGAGGAATTTTGACTTGTTTACAATGTTGTTCCGCTTCAGTCCCTCTGCGGGACTCCCATACAACACCCCCAAATACCCCCCTTTATATAGAACCCCCCCCCCAATAAAAAATACCCCTGTGTGTGCGCGCGTGCGGCAACACACGGAGCTAGATAAATAAATCCTGCCCCTTGCTCTCAGTAGTGTGGCTCATGAAGGTGCTCTCTCTTTTAAACATGGCACCAGTTTCAAACCCCAGATCCATATCAAAGACAACCAACATTCACTTTTCATTGAATCCATACAACCCCAGACTAAACCCAACCCTCATGAACCCTGATAACCCCGCTTGTATTGTGTACATACCCCTGCAGATGCCATGAGTGTGGCCCACGTCGTTGCCATAGTTACACTCCAGCCCCTTGTGGTGGTCACAGGGGCGTGAGTCGTGGCAGTCCTGGTTGAGCTGGGCAGCACACACCTTACAGCAGCCACAGCCGTCAGGTACAGAGCTGACCCCCGGGGGACAGGAGGGGGGGCCAGCCGGGCACTCACACACCACAGGGCAGCCAGCACTCACCTACAGGGGGCAGCATGGAGACAGACAGGTTTGAGGGAATGGCGCAATACAGAGGGTTGAAAAAAGGATTTCAATGAGGGCCGTTCATAGCCTAAACATTAATAAACTGTTTGTTTCAAGTGGAGTCAGGCTACACAGAGCACAGAAGATCTTCAAAGTGTGTTTGGTTTAAATATTCACTAAATACCCAGCATCACCTACCCCCGTGGGACATTTTCCCACCCTCTGTCGCTGTCACCTTCCTCTTGGCAGAGACGAGCAGGGATGAAAGAGAAATTCAATGTGACCCCCTCCCCGAGTCCCAACACTACAGCCCCCCATAACCCTGCTAAAAAGGTTTTGGGTCTGCCTGTCGACAGTTGGGTAAGATCATCCAAAGGATCCCTCTCCTGCCATGCCATCCTGGGTTCAGGGTGATTGGGTGGTGGGGGCTAAATGGTTTCCGCACAGCGGGCTGTATATATTTCCAGACCTGAATGTGTCACTTTTCATCTCTGTTTGGGAACCCTAACTGGGACCTTGTGTGCCACTGGGGTTTAAAGGGCAGCAGTGGTCCAATATTCCAATGGTATTCAGGAACCCAGGTAAAATATGAGCACTTGAGCCAGGTTAACGTTATCTGTCATGTAATCAATGTCATGCATTGGAGTCAGATAACTACACTGTTCCTTTCTGTCTCTATCGTAGTGTATAGAAGACACTGTGGTCAACATCACCTTCATTACAGAGTACAGTACCCTACTTTTCTTTTCTGGATTCTAGTAGTGGGTTGGCCCCATCTGGCCATAAATGTACACTGTAAAGGTAAAACGACTGCATTTACTCTACTGTAACTTCAAATTCACACTGCCTTCACATTAACGCAATATTCAGAGACCCAAAGGTATTTATTTTTAACGGTGCAGACAGAGGACTAGTAAGCTTGTCGGTGGTGCAGTCTGTTGACTACCCGCCACTGTGCTGACAGGAGACCTACCCGACACGTGAACTTCTATTTTCAATGTTTACACAAGCTTGGCTGAAGCCAAGATAGTACAAAATCATTGCATACACTTACCAAGGAAATAGTCGCCATTTGAAACAGAACAAGCCATTTTAACGTCCTCATGTTGTCAAATGACAATTGAAAGAAAAAATAAAATAAAGAAAATGTGAAATAATTGAAGGTAATTGTTGTTTTAATCCACGAACAAAACCCCACAAAGGGAACTGTCCAACAAGGCGCAGTAATTCCACAGTTAATGTATAGTGTTCTTCATAGAATATCAAAACCTGCACATTTCATCTATTCATTTTTGCAGCTCGGTTATATATTGCCCCTGTGCTTTTTGTTGCAGCTCCGCCTACCACAGTCGGTCTAGCCAATTAAGAGGCGGGCATGAGGCCAGGGTATTACAAAGGGGGAGGAGAAAGGCGGGCCTTGGATCGCCAAAACGGATAGCTGGGGTTTGAGGCATGGCCAACGATGAATGCGTTCATTCATAAAAATTCAGAATTACTACATTCCAAAGAGGACCTGGCTTTTGGTGTTTCTTTATTTATGTTTGAATTAAAATAATATTATTGATGCTTTTAAGTTGTTTTCACATGCATACCTCTGTCCAGATGCTGCTTTGTGAAAGGCAAGATAAATATACTCAGCTGGCTAGTGTGTGCTACATTAATACTGGAACAGCCATAGAAAACAGCTAGGAATTTCGTCCCCTTCTTTATAAAAAAATACTTAACGAGGAGAGCGAGACAGATAAAGTATACATATAGATGGGCGTGTAGACGTTTCAACGGAATTAGCACTGATACACCAAAATATTGCTCAAGTCTACGAAGGTTATGGTGGAAATGATAGCGATAACTCCCCTTTCAATCCATCACTCTCCTCCTCCCATATCCTGTCTGTCGTCAACATCAATTTTACCTTCCTCATAGGTTCCCATGGTGCCCCTCATTCGCCGCTCTCTCTCTCACAGACATGTTTTGAAGGAGGGAGTGTGCTAAAGGTCCAGTGGTGGTGAGTGCAGACCAAAGCAGAGTGGAACGGAGGTGAGAACAGTCGGGCTAATCCAGGGCTCGCTGCCATTGACACGAACACAGGAAGCTATCGGTTTACCTGAGCTGGAACACACTCTGACCGCATAGTGTGCCCTGTTACACACTGATACTGTGCTAGGGGCAGACACACATACCACAATCCACTGACACACTGTTAAACTGTACAGCATATCATGCAAACAACACTGACACGAACTGTGACCACAAAGTGTTGCCGCATTACACACTGTTTTAGTGAGTAAGACACGTAGACTGTACACACACACTCCTTTATCCTCTTCCCACTCAATCCATCTCTGTCTCTCCCTGACTGTGTAATGAGGTGATGCAATTGGTCAAGGTAAGAAGATCCCCACCAGCGAGAGAAAATGGAGGGGTAAGTAATAGATGGACACACTCACAGACGTGTTGTTGTTTTCATATTTCCTCAAAGCTTAGGCTACCATGACTCATCAAAGGACGTGTCCTTTCCACTGTAGTCTGTACTGGTCCCACCCAACGCACACATACACTTTCCAATATATAACACCAACAGACACACACATGCACACACAAACAGACACACTTACTCAAAATTCACACACACACACACACACCTCTCTCTCTCTAATGAGATGGATATTCACGCATGGACATTGGCATTGCAAGTAAGCAATGACCTTTCTGTTGACATTTGCATTCTGTTGACAGCAAACCTCAACTTGAACCTTAACTGGGAGGAGTGGAAGGAGCAGGGAAAAGGTGGGCGGTGGCAGCTGAGAAAGACATCAAACATGATACTTTCATAAACAAGTCTGTGGAAATCAGTGGAGGCTGCTGAGGGGAGCACAGCTCATAATAATGGCTGGAACGGAGCAAATGGAATGGCATCAAACCATGTGTTTAAAGTATTTGAAACCACACCACTCATCCTCCCCAATTAAGTTGCCACAAACTTCCTGTGGTGGAAATAGAAAAAGAGAGGGAGAGAGACTGAGAACAGAGAGAGAGTAAAGAAGGGAGGATAGTTCTGTGAGATCACTGAAAAGACAACGAGGTCTGCCATTTCATCACTGTCAGTTCAGACCTAATTCCTCCATTACCAACTTTTATTCCAAAACAACAAAACAAGTTGGTTCCATGAGAAACGTAAAAAAGAGACGGTCAGCTTAAAGGGAAGGCATGGGGTGTGTGAGAGGGATAGACAGTGTGTTTACACCACAGGAGGTTGGTGGTACCTTAATTGGGGAGGACCAGCTTGTGGTAATTTTTGGTGCGGAATTGGTGGAATGGTATCAAATACATCAAACACATGGTTTGATGCCATTCCATTTGCTCCATTACAGCCATTATTATGAGCCGTCCTCCCCTCAGCAGCCTCCACTGGTTTACACGTGCAAGGCTAAGGGGGAGGATTAGAAGATAGGGGGACAGGTGTGGAGTGTTTGTTAAAGTCAGGAGGGAGCTCTTGCTTGCCACACCTTTGAGGTGCATTCTGTTACACTAACACATTTTTGTGCACTAAAACTGTATGGATATGGCCTGTGATTGCTGAAATCGTATCAGCATTGGGTGTGTGTCTCAATGCTGGCACATGGGTAGGGTGACTGGGAGCGAGAGAAAGAACACAGCCTGTTCCAAAACAAGTGAAGAGAGAGAGGTTATGGGAGTGGGAGGGAGAAAAGAGGGAAGAGAGAGAGAGGAATTTAAGTCCCACAGTTATTTTAAAACCTAGAACAGGAACTCTTCTGTTGACTTCCACACAGATTGATACAAGAGTAGAGCAGCACAGAGGAGACGGAGGGCAGGAACACAAACATATGTTCCTCATGCACTAACACACATGTGCACGCCTCTACTGCTCCACACTATCAGGTTTAGCTCCCTCCATGCATTTACATCCTTATGCAGGTACACTCTACTACACTACACTATGTGTGCATGCACATAGTCACACTCACTCTCAAACACATGCGCACATTAACATTATACTGTACGTGTAAATATGCTTTCCTATATATCAACAGTCTGTGTACACTTTCATTCCGCACACTAAACATAGACCAAGTAGTCATTCATTTAAATCAAACAAAGCTCTTTTCAAATAGATATGCATTTGAAATCAAACAATCTCCTAATTAACGATAATTGAAGATGTATTGAGGGAAAATAAAGAGCAGAGATCTAAATTAGAGAGCTTGCATCTTGACAGAGAGAAAGGCTCTGAGTCTGTATACAGCACAGATGACAGAGCAGAAAGAGTGCAAATGAAGAGACTGAAAAAAATAGGACTTTGGTTTCTGTTTCACTTTAATTTAAATAAGTACAAGGCCAATTACTGTACTTGCCCTAACAACAGGAATGTTACTGTGCCATTTACTATATGTGTCACCAGGCCATTCTGAGTAAGGACATTGGGGTTTGGCGAGGACGAGGCAAAACAAAAGATAGCACCATGTGAACAAAAAGCATACACTTTGTCATTCATTATTCCTTTGTCTGGGGCTGACATAAAATCTCAGCCTCATCAATTGTTGTACTGGCCCCACTGTCCTGTCTGTCCTGTGGTGTGAATGGGCAAGGAGGGAGAAGGAATGAGAGGAAACAAGATGGACCAGTTAGCAATCCAAAAAAGAGGTTGCTGCTACATGTGACACGGGGCCTTATAACAGCTACGTCAATGGTTACCATTAGCCTAGCGCTTGGGTCAGCTTGGTGACGAGCAAGGTCAGGGGTGGCTCGCACTGTGGGCCCAAGGAACGTAACAAGGTCAAAGGGCATAGGAAACTGGGTCACCTGTGCCTGTTGATCAGTCGTGAGGAAGCTTACTGACTCTCCCCACCCCCCTGCCACCCAGCATCGCTCCCCCCCCCCTCCCTCCCTCACCTCCAAGATGTCACAAAAAGCACCCTTGTTCTCGACCTCGCCCCCTGTCCGCTGGGACCCCTCAGAAATCCCAGATATCCCTGCAATTTCCGGTGCAATGTTTGTTTGGCAGCTAATGGGAGAGGGGCGAGTGGACTTTTAAAAAAAAGAGCCTGACTCACAAACATTTTGGGCTGCGTTTGAGAGTAAACACATAAACGGCAGGCTGTGTGAGGCGAGCAGTGAGGAGGACTGAGACGCCGGTGTTCTGGCCCTGACACGCAGCTACAACCACAGGCTGCACACAGAGCACAGCACTGTTCAGGCCCCAACCGACACCTCAAAAACAACATGGGCCTCCTCTCTGATCAGGGGAGGAGGCCCTCTGCGGGGGATATCTGGAAACGGTCTATAGACGGAGAGGGCAGGGCACACGCACTATTACCGAAACGCTGAGGTTGGTTCACTTGTTGACCTGGATCTTTCAAACTACACATGCTGAATTTAATGCAATTGAAATGTGACAGGACAGCATATCCTTATAAACTATTCCTGTGATTATTTGTAAAGGATATACAGTATAATAGGCTAGAGCAACATACATTATACCTGGATAAGCCTTGTTAAGGATGTGTATGCGTAAAGCGCTATATACAAATACATTATATAAGCTTACATAAGCTAGGTGTCAGTCAGAATATGCCGAAGTAACAAGACAGAAAAACCGCATATAGCATAAACACAAATGGCCTCGAGTTGAGAGACCCCTTTCCTTTGCTGGACAATATCGCTTCCTCCTGAAGGACAGAGGGTGGAGGAGGGGTACAGGCAAGGGGTGGAAGGGGGCATGTGGGGATGTGCATGGCGAGGGTGGCGGGGAGTTTTCGGGAAGCAGCAGGGGTACATGTAGGAGGGAGCCAGACTGACAGATAGGCGGGAGGAAGTGGGGGCGTCTGTCTCTCCTGTGGTTGGCTGCTGGATGTGAATACCCCTCTCTGCGTCCAGCCATCCTCTCTCTGAACCCACTCTGCTGCTGTTTACTTCTGTTGGCGGAAATGGCCTCCTTCTCTCTATCTGTAATCCCCAGACTCTGTAACCACTGGCACAGTCCACCATCTCCCTCTGTCTCTGGGGTGAAGGACAGGGCCACATATCTGTCATTGGCATGGTCCTCTCCTTTACAGTCCACCCTCCTCCTTCTCCTCTTCCTCCTCTTCACCTTCTGCTTCTCTTTCACTCCTCCCTCTCCAGTCCCAAGATCCTCTCGCATTTTAAGAGGAGACTCTGCTCTGCCCCATCTTGCCATGCCTTTGGTATCGGTCCTTAGGGGTGGGGAAATCTGAGAAAAAGGCTGTCCGCCCTGCTGTCTGCTTTCAGCACTGATTATGAATGAGAGTGTATCTTTGAGAGGTCCTGTTGGTGGTTCTAATACAGTGAGCCCATGTCTCTTGGGCTGTGTTTGTGTCTCTGAGACTGTGTTTATGTGAACGTCCTTCTCTGACACTATGTCATTGTGAGTCAGTGGATGTGGGAGCGCGTTGATGTGGGTGCCTGACAGTAAATCTTGGAGGGTGTGTGTTCCTGAAACCTCACCGGCGTGTGTATTTGCAGGCAGCAACGCTCTGGACCTGTGGAATATGGAGCGGAGACGTCGGTGGGGTGGCAGGCTGGCCGACAGCCCCGACGATCCGATGCTGCGGAACAAAGGGTGGGGGGTGGAGGGTGACCGAGGGTGTCATCTCTTCACCCGTCCTCTTGAACATTACATCTGCTACTCTCTCCTCCTCCCCCTCTTAGAGGTGCCTCCAGCAGTCATCAGATCTGTCCCCCCGTTCAAACTGCCAGTGTCGGGAAGGCTGGCACATTCTCCCTTGTTACAGGTGGAGGTAGATGGGAGTCTGTGTTTAATGGTATTGGATGGGGTAAAACATTTCACTTGGTAAGATGACCACCTCTGGTTGATATGCTCTGTGAAGACCTCTTGTTAGACTTTTCCTAAATGTACTTAGTTTTTAAAAAATCCTGAAGTCACTTCACCAATGTCCGGATAGGTCATAAACATCCCGTTCAACAAGGCACCCTATAAGTAGACAGTGGATACACATTTACAGAGTTAACACAGAGCACAAGAGGTTGGTGGCACCTTAATTGAGGACGGGCTCATGGTAATGGTTAGAGCGGAATTAGTGGAATGCTATCAAATACATCAAACATATGGTTTCCATGTGTTTGAAGCCATTCCATTTGCTCCGTTCAAGTCATTATTATGAGCCGTCCTCCCCTCAGCAGTCTCCACTGACAGTTATTCAGAGTTAAGTCATCAAAGCTATGGTATTGCACTACAGCCAAAGAAAACAGTCCATGTCCAAGAAATCAAGGTGACATAATAAAGTAGTTGTGAAACAGAGGAGGCTGGTGGGAGGAGCTATAGGATGACGGGCTCATTGTAATGTCTGGAATGGAATGAATGGAAGGGTATCCGTTCTTTTAATTCCATTCCAGCCATTACAATGAGCCTGTCCTCCTATAGCTCCTCCCACCAACCTCCACTGTTGTGAAAAGACTGAATAATAAACACAGAAAGAGGAAAGGACAGTCAAAGAGAAAACAGTGAGTGCAGTGCAATGATTGTGTACAATAGCTAATTAATGGTAAGAAGTACTACACTTCTACAAAGAATACGTGAAAGCCACTCACAGGGTCAGTTGTACTCTCTGTGTTCTCCTCAGTCTTCAACTTCAGGAATTAGCTGGCTTTGATTGAATATCCATTCATTGTTAATGCAGCAGTCTGGTCCTCCTGTCCACATCATCATCAGCAATGCCTTGCCCCCATTTCTGGATCCATTGTCTGTCTGTCTGCTGTCTACTCTACTCTCTCCACTCTCCTTATCTAGTCTCAGTCTCCTCTGCACCCTTCACACCCACATATCTCTCTACCTTTCATCCGGTGGCCCTCTGACATGAAAGGTGGTCGAGACTGCCTCACTTCTCTCTTTCATTTTAGTCTCGCCATCAATTATGAATGAATGGCTCTCTGAAGAGCAAGAGCCAGCATCGTACCCATACTGATAATTTAGCTTAGGTGAATTTATAGATGCCTGAGCTCAATGCAGTGACCTTTGTAGGCAGGTAGCCTATAGCGGGTTAGAGCGTTGGGGCAGTAACCGAAAGGTCGCTGGTCAGAATCCCCGAGCCGGCAAGGTTAAAAAATCTACCGTTCTGTCCTTGAGCAAGGCAGTTAACCCCCAACAACTGCTCCCCGGGCGCCGATGACGTAGTGTCGATTAAAGCAGCCGCCCGTACATCTCTGATTCAGAGGGGTTAAATGCGGAAGACACATTTCGGTTGAATGCATTCAGTTGTGCAACTGACTAGGTATCCCCATTCCCTTTCCATCTGTTAAATCTTCAAGATTGAAAGCAGCTCTTTGGGGTAGAGTTGTATTGGTATCCGCAGTATTTTGCACCGTATGATTAATTGACAAAGGTAGAAAATAATATCTCCCTCTGTGTCAGATTCCATGTGGTGGGGTCGCCACGATTTGCAAATCCACCTCACCTCCTCTATCTCGAGGTCTCCCTATTGTTTTGCCAGATAACCTTTCATAACCCTTCAAGCGCATTGTAGTTCTGAATTTTAACTCGTGGCGGCGCTACTCGCCCAAACGTAAACATGAGACGCACAAATAATCTGTGCGGCCTCTTTTATATGAACTGTAAGCGGAAGTACTTCATATAGAGACCAGAACGATAGAGTACAGAACGGTAAGTGTTATGTGTCTGTTTCACTACAATTATTTTCTGGGTGACATTGGCACGTAATGGCAGTAGTTTTTCTCCGGTTTGTGGATGTGGGCGTTTTATAATGGGAGGACATAGGCGCGAGGAAGGAGAAGGAAGACGCGGGCAAAGTCACACGGAGGTTATTCGAAGAAAAAGCTGAGCCCAGTTCGTAAATACGCACACAGTGGTTGCGAAACACGACGCCGTTCTATTGGATGGTCAAGCCACTAGAAAAATAACTATCTACAAACTCTTTGTGGCGGTTTATTGCCCCTCCCCGTATCAGCAGTTGTCAGTGAAGTTTGCTTGCTAGCTAGTGTAGTGTATGGAAATTATGACTGTTTTAAATGTTTTTCATGAAGAAATGGAATGTTGGTTATGTTAGTATCAAAAGGCAATGTTTAGTATAATGTAACATATAATAGACAGGAAGTGTATTGTAAACTGGCCAGAAGAGGGAGCCCATCTTGTTGCATTGGTTATAAATAGGGGTACACGAAGAAGATAGGACAGAGCAGACATTAGAATTGGAGGACACTGCTCTCCGGACCTTGCAAGTCTGTTACTCATGCTGAAGCTTGTGATCTGAATAAACCTTATGATCAACGTTCAGTATGAGCAGACTCCTTTTGTTCATCAGCAAGGACGACCACCATTCATCATATACGACACTAGGAATCTGTTTGAATCTAGTTCCTTGCTGTTCGTGTTATCCATAGCCACTAAGCCAGCCATCTCTCACACACACCTACATGTTACTGTATGGTGGTAAACAAGAATGTCTTGCATAGGTGTCCTCCCCCTGATGTCACAGTCCAACCATAGTAGCTCTGCCTGAGTAGTGGCCCTGTTTTATGGTGCCATGAAATTACATTTATTGATCAGTCTTCCGTTCTCTTCCCCAATTATGTCTTCTTTCAGATGGCTCACCGGCTGCTAGTCCGTAGAATTTGGACCCTCTCTGTTAAAGACTTCCGCTGTCTCCCGGCCTCCACCTCCTCCTTCTCTACCTCCCTGCGTTCCTCCACTGCCCCTCTACCCTTCCTTTCCCCCAAACGCACTCTGTTCCGCTCCCTGCCCCACACTTCCCGCAGAGAGGTCTCCTTCAACGTGCAGGACCATGAGGACTTCACAGAGAGAGTCATCAACAGTGAGCTGCCTGTGCTCATTGACTTCCATGCCCAGTGAGTAGCTAATAGATGGATGAATGAATATGCTTCATGGACCCCCAGAGGGGATATTAGGCTCCACTTATAGAATTTACAAACTACCCTCTAATGAGAAAGCAAAGGCCCTAAGAGACAATACATGGAGAAGCATCAATGTCTGCCTGTTGAAATTACACTACTGAGATAACAGCAGGAAACTGTATTTTACTTTATAGCTTTTTCAACTATGTACCAAACAAGTGAATTTATTTATCAATCATATTGAATTGGCATAACATGCTCAACAGCTTTCCTATTGTAAGACAAAGCATAACGGTGAAAGTTGTGACTGAGTGCATATCACTACAGGTCATCTGTAGCTCAATTGGTAGAGCATGGCGCTTTTAACGCCAGGGTAGTGGGTTCGATCCCCGGGACCACCCATACGTAAAAATGTATGCACACATGACTGTAAGTCGCTTTGGATAAAAGTGTCTGCTAAATGTCATATTATTATTATTATTATTATTATTATTATTATTATTATCATGTGTGATAACACCTTACCCATACTGTATGTGTCTGGCTGCATGGCTTGACATCTGATGGTGTTTCCATTAGAGGTAGATCATGTGAGGTTACACAACAAGAGGCAATGCCAGGACAGCCACATTGGGTTCATGCTCTACAACGTGTCAAACTCATTCCATGTAGGGCAGAGTGTCTGTGGGTTTTCGCTCCTCACTTGGACTTGATTGATGAATTCAGGTCATTGTTTAGTAAAGAACTCCCCTCACCCGATTGTCTAGCTCTTAATTGAAAGGAAAAACCAAAACCCAGCAGACACTAGGCCCTCCATGGAATGAGTTTGACACCCCTGCTCTAGAAGATACATACATAGCCTGAATATATACAGTAAACATGATACACATGATCTTGAGTTGCATAGTGGTCAGTGTTGCCCTGGTCATTGTCAGTTTATGTTTTTGCCAACTTGTTTACATTGTCTTGCTAGGCAACAATTTAAAGTTATTATCCAGGTTCTATTCTGTACTCTATGCTTCACGTAGAGGTCTGTAATTTTTTATCATAGGTACACTTCAACTGTGAGAGACGGAATCTAAAACAAAAATCCAGAAAATCACATTGTATGATTTTTAAGTAATTAATTTGCATTTTATTGCATGACATAAGTATTTGATACATCAGAAAAGCATAACTTAATATTTGGTACATAAACCTTTGTTTGCAATTACAGAGATCATAAGTTTCCTGTAGGTCTTGACCAGGTTTGCACACACTGCAGCAGGGATTTTGGCCCACTCCTCCATCCAGACCTTCTCCAGATCCTTCAGGTTTCGGGGCTGTCGCTGGACAATACGGACTTTCAGCTCCCTCCAAAGATTTTATATTGAGTTCAGGTCTGGAGACTGGCTAGGCCACTCCAGGACCTTGAGATGTTTCTTACGGAGCCACTCCTTAGTTGCCCTGGCTGTGTGTTTCGGGTCGTTGTCATGCTGGAAGACCCAGCCACGACCCATCTTCAATGCTCTTACTGAGGGAAGGAGGGAGACTTTTGATTGAAATTTCACGGATACATTCAGTATTATTAGTTCTAACCAGACATACCATGTTTGTTCTATAAAGGTGGTGTGGTCCCTGCAAGATACTAGGGCCAAGATTAGAGAAAGCTGTTGCCAAACAGAAAGGCAAAGTTGCCATGGCAAAGGTCGACATAGACGATCACACAGACTTGGCCATTGAATATGGGGTAAGTGGAAGCTGTTGACATTATTGATCGATATTGCAATTGTTAGGTCCTGTTAGAAAATTTAGAAAATGTGACCTTCTTTCCTCCCTTCCTTGAAGTAATTGCTGATCTAAAATGGTCAGATTTGTGAAAGAAGGGATTCCACTACATAGCTTACAGCAACCCAGTCATATCAGATCAGTGATTACTTTGAGGAAGGAAGGATGCATTTTGTACTGGAATAGTGCCTTTGACTGATGTCATTGCGGTTACTGACCTTTACCTCTCTCTACAGGTATCGGCGGTCCCCACGGTAATCGCCATGCGAGGAGGCGACGTCATCGACCAGTTTGTGGGAATCAAAGATGATGAGGCGCTGGACTCGTTTGTCAGCAAGCTCATTGGACAATGAACATGTCAATCACATCCCTGTGATCCAACCCCTTATGACCCCATTGTTGTCTGAGCCTGGCCAGGTCCTCAGCGCTACACGGCCATGTTGAACCTGTTAAAACAACAACCAACCACCTGACCATAACCCCACCTGACCATAACCCCACCTGACCACAACCCCACCGGACCACAACCCTACCTGACGACAAACACGCAAACGCTCACACCATCCCTAAACTCTGCTCTGTATTATTCTGTCTGTCTGTCTCTGTCTGTCTATGGTCTAGTGATGGGTGTGTGCTTGTGTGGACTGCATTTCCCCTCTTTACTCATATATTGCTTCCATCTTGCAGCGGTTCCCTCCCTCCTTCAACCTTTAATATAATGGCCCCACCCTGTGGAAACTGGTAGAGCAGCCTGAGCCAGTGTGTACCAGTTTACTACAATAGATTGTTTAGAGTGGGCAACTACACCGCTGTACTTTACTGCATCGTACGGGGACAAGTCGTTTAGTATTATGTGGGGAGAGATGTTAACAGGAAATGTGATATTGGTGAATGAGCGGTGATGTCGCTCTCTGCAGTTCCTGCTTTTGTCCACACGAGGGCGGCCTTCCCCTAGCATTGTAGGCTGGACAGTCATTTAACACCATTATGCCTAATAATGAGAGGGTGGAATGTGTCTGTCATGAGTGTGTCTGTATGGCTGTATCTGTGTATAAGTTTCTCAGTCTGTATCGGTCTGTCTCTTGGTTTTGACTGAGAAATTTGAGATAAGCGGGAAACACAAATATGGTTATATGGGTTCGATTTAGATTTTATTTCTATAAACTATGTAATATGACCATGCAAAGTAATAAATAAAGGATATTAAAGGTGTTCTATATTTGGAGTGTGAATTGGTTTGTGGTATAATATTACATGTGGTAAAGGTCAAGGAGAATCATGAGGAAGTGGTTTCATAGTAATATTGGAGGACTTTAGACCTATATGACTTTAGCAGTAAAATAATTTTCTTTATAACTATCATTTTATGTTCGGTGGTATGTAAACTATAAAGTTAACATCGAATCAGTTGTCATATTTCAGCCATGTGATTCCCTTTTGTTAACTATGTGGGCAGTCTAGTTAGCAGAGTGGTGATGGAATGTTGACGTAGGATGATTGTGTGATGTTTGTTTGCCTGGGAGGTAGGAGGCAGGGATATTTTCTGTCACGCAGATTAATTGACATATTTCTTTCTAGTAGAATGGGTGTGATGTTCTCACCGTTACTGACAAACTTCTGTATAGACCTAATGAGCTGGAAGACTCTTCTGTCCATCAATCTGCCTTGTTACATTATTTTCCATTTCATTTATCCCTCATTCAGTTTCTTCCCCTTTTCCATTTCATGTCTCTCCATCCTGTATTTTCTCTATCAGTTTTATCATCCTTTACCTCACTGTTTCTATTTAATCAGTATCTCTCTGTCTCTTTTTATTTCTCTCTGTTTCTCTGTCTGAACTTGTTTCACCCCCCTCTCATCAGTGGACGGCTGAAGCATGCCCCACGCCAGCCTCCACAACACCTCTCTAAATTACCCCTCTCTCTACCCTACACCCTAACTCACCAAGCTGTCTAGGTAGGCACCTGGGCTCAGACTCCCCATCTCCAGTTATCATTCCTTCTCACATGACAACACACAGGGACATTCCCACACTGCGTGCCTCACGATCATAGTGTGTTATTACAGAATCACCACTGACATAGTCATGGCACAGGCTTCCAAGCTACTTATTTGCTACCCTTAAACAGCGTACATTTTACATGTTCCCGTCTGTAGTTTTAATAGCCTTGGATTAGATCATTGCCACACAAATAACGGCCCCCAAGAAATTGACTGAGTGTTGAGCTGTTCAGTAGCCAGTTATAGAGGATATAGATATCCAAGGATTTTCAACAAGGAATTCCATAGGTATTACATAAGCAGGTGTGAGTAAGCAGGAGGTACGGTTGGAATAGCTAATGGTCTCGATCTATAATCCAGACTGTTGTTGTACTCAATGAAAGACATGCCTCTTTGGACTCTATCACATATTTGAAATGGCTGGAATAGTAGTTCAGCAGTACCTTTGTTAATCATCTATTTTTAACCCGTCCTCCCTCTCCCCTCATGTTCTCTCTCCTCCCCCCCTCTCTCTCTCTGTGTGTCCAGTGTCTAGACCACAGTGCTGATGATAGGTATAGACTTATGTAGGCGTACTTGTTGCCTCGCAGCTTCTTTAAAGGACCAGTGCAGTCAAAATTATTTCCTGATAGTTGCTGGTTGAAAATACAATCTACACAGGTCCTTCTAATCAGCAGGTTTGCAATAGGTGGGAGTTTCTGACATCGTTATGCAGTAAATTGGTTAATAGACTAATAACAAAGAGAGTTTTAAATGGAAATCTATTACAGGGATTTGATATCGATATAAAAAAAAACGGCTACATTGGGCCCTTAACTACTCTTTGTCTGACTTATGCTACGTTTGTAACCAAGTGGGAAGTGAGAATTTACCACATACGACTGGGAAAAATCCACTTGAACGCCCCTCCAACTGGTAATCACTAGTGGGAAATTTGTCTATCATCCTGAGCTCCCACTTCTCCCACATGCTGACCTCTGATGTAACCTACTAAGGAAATTACCTTGAGAACAGCATTTTCGGCAGACAAATGCAATAACAAAACATTATTTATAATAAGCAATCTATTAATATGGTTTTTGAACACTAATTTATTTACCAGCATGATAGCTGTACTTTTAGTTTATGGTTTATGCAGCTTGTTGGTCATTAGCCAATCAGCGTTTCTCAACGAGTTCAACGCACATGAATGCATCCAACTTGTATTTACTTCTTCACAACTGGTAAATT